GAATAAAACACAGCGTCCTCTCAGAGTGACCTGTCCGCTCTTTCCTGGGGGTTGGGGTGAGTGTGGAAGCTGTTCCTCACTGGACTCATCTCAGAAACCCACCACTGCAGACAGATTCCACCTGCACAACGCGCACAAGCTCTGTGTGATTTTTTTAAAATTTAACCTACAGGGCACACAACCACCTGGTTCGACTCATAATGAATTCAATTAATTTTCACAGCCACTGTGAAGAAAGCTAGCATTGTTTTACTGTGTAAGGGAGAGTATCTAAACTAGGAAAACATCAAAAACAGCACTGAATACTTTTGCTTTTAACTGGAAAAAAATAGATGATCCAAGGTCACATTCTAGGCACAGGTGAAAAACCTTTGATTTACATGCGATGGGTTTGAGGTGAAAGGTTTAGGAGATGATGACTGTACTGTATTGAATACCGAAAAAAATCTAATCCCGTATGAGAGACATCAACCCCATCTGGACCTGCTCTCTCCCTGAGGTCTCCTGTTCAGAGGCTCAGTCTCATATCACAACCTGCATGTCAGCCATAATGGAATATAATTTGTCCAACAGCATCACTACTGCACAGGACCGCATGTTACATGTTAAAACAGTACAACTGCATTCTAGTGTAAACGTACACACCAGTGTCGTCTATTAATTTTGTTCACTAACAGATTTTCATAAAAGTTATCCTATCTATCTTTGTATTCTGGCAAACAGAAAAGCAGTTTGAAAGATATTCCCTTGTTGACGGTCATGTCTTTATCTCTATCACTGCAGTGATCAGCTCTTGACCTCCTCCCTCCGGCTTGCGGGCAGAGTGACCTCCTCACTGTGGTCCCTGTCTCTGTAAAAGCCATCTTTCTCACCACTCTCTTCCCTGCAGTGGCAGTGGAGCCATGGAGCAATGATAGGGAAGTGGTGATGGGAGGGGATTTCAGGATGTGTGTTTGTGTAAGACGCATTGCGAATGCCTGGTTCTGTGTTTTTCTTTCTGTTCAGCTCCGGCCTTTTAACACTGGCCTCCGGCGCTGAGGAGCGAAGCCGGTACAGGGGGTCACACCAGAACCTGGACGCCGCTGAATCAGAACTTTTCCAACTCCTGATGCGTGTCTTTACAGGAAAAGAGCAGAGCGCGGGAAGGGAGAGAGAAATACAGATAAAGACAAAGAGGCCGAGAAGAAAGAGGGGAGACTACAGACACGAGAGGACAAGACCTAGAGAGCCAGAAAAGACAAGAGAGACACGCTTGAATTACAAAATTATGAGTTCATCCATCATGGCAGAATTAGCGCAGTCTTGGCAAAGCGGGGCTGGGGGGCCCCAAGCAGATTAATTATGGAACGTATGAATTAGTTCAGAGCTTTAGGTCCCATTAGATTGTACATCTCCCATGTCTTAATAAAGCTCTGCTGCACATGCTTTCCAACAGCACAGCTGGAAAACTGGGAGGGAGCTACAGTAACAACATGGATTTCTATGGGGGTTTCCCAGTACTGACCTGACCCAACCTTGCTGGGCTCTGAGATCTAACAAGATTGGGCAACAGGACAGTAATTGTGGAGCCCGACAGATCAACAGGCTAGAACTTTGAGCAACGGACAGACCGCGGGACAGATCAGGTAGCTCAACAGTGCTTCTTTATGTGTGTCTTGGGTTGATAGCTCTCTGAATGCTGCCAGCACCAGCAGCCTATCTTCCTGTGAGAGCCTGACCACACGCAGCCCTCATGTGTGTGTGCAGCCAGGGCAGGGGAATAACGAGAGCAGCAACAGAAAAAAGCTCTGCTCATTATTCTCTAATGGGGCCTAACGGAACTGGCAGGAGACAAGACAAGGATCCTCACCACAGCTCGGCACAAAACTGCCTGTGAGGGGGAGGGAAATAAGACCAAATTGGGACACACACAAACAAATGTCTTGTGTCCCAAACGGGTTTAAATACCCTTATAGAACAAGCGCAGTATAAACAGACTGGGACACCTGCAGCTGAAGTGGTGGTTCCATATGTCCTGTGTGGACATGACACCCAGTGTACAGAACCAAGTGTTTTTCTCCACCTTATGACACTGCCTGAAGTGGGGTATAAAGACATCTTTTAAACAGCAAGTATTAGGATCACGTCTTTTTTCAGCTCTTGGAAAACTCTCAATGTGTTGCAAAGCCACCAAAAGGCTAACCCAACGGAAGTAAAAAAAAAAAAATGTGTGCTGAAAAACAAACCATGTGAACATGTGGAAAAGATTCTGTCGACACTGGTGCCCAGCTCCATCAAGTGCCTGATTTAATCAGTCAGGGGTTAAAACAGCTCTCAGATCTCATTGGCTCCCAGGATGTCCACAAGAACACATTTTGCCGCTTTGCTTGTTAAAAACACCAAATGGGGCTGTCTTTTCTTTTGTTCCCCCCTACTGATGGAGTGAAAGGGATTTTTTTGGTCTCATGGGTATTAAAACATACCCTTTTCCCTTTGCGAAGACAGAAGAGACCTCCCTCATGTTTGGTATACTGAGAAGCCTTCAATATGAAAGATTGCATATTAGTGGATTAGTAAAATATTAGGATTAGTGTGATTACACATAGCTAGGATTCTAGCATTATTACTTCTATAAACTCGTCATCTGAGGTCTCAAAGATCAAAAATGTTCATTTCAGCTACTGTGTACAAACCAGTTGAATCAGTTATCAGGTTAAAAAAGTAACCAGTAGATATCCACACCAGGCTTGTCTGTTTCAGCTGAAACACTGGAGAATGGATAACTATGTCCTTATGCTCTGCTTTTGAGTAAGAGAGAGAGAAATTTATTACTGCACAGTGTGGTATCTATGATGAACTGATGTTCACTTCCCATGTTCAGCGAAAAAAACCTATTGTGAGTTTATCTTACACAGCTAAGGAAAGAAAGACGAGTAAAAAAAATGCTCCTGCTCTGATTCCAAGACAGAGTCTTTCGAAAAATCTTCAGTATTGAGAAGAGATACTTTACCAGACCGCATCACCATAACAAATGGATGAGACAGAAATACATCTTTATCTGTTACCTTAGTCTTGTGCATCAGGCAGGGTCTACTACAGAAACAGTGATAGGTGACAGGATGATTTAACAAAGGTGTCGTTTCATTTTTTCTTATGATGTGATTTCACTTTATCAGGACTCTGTTAAGCACGACACACACATATCATGACAGAATCGTGAAACTAAGCGCAGAACAGAAAAGGGACTAAGGGGACACATGGAGCAAAATTACCATGCCAGACTCTGTGGTTGTCTTTCAATAATAATTGCCTTATTGAAAGACAACCACAGACATGCACGAATGGCTAAAAGACCTCTGGCATCATGTTCTCATAATGGAGACAGCTTCCATAAGAGCACTATGCCGTTGGTAAGCAGACAAGGCTGAAGACGCTTCACCTACCAGGAGGCTGAGAGGGTTCTCTTCTTAATTTAAAACCTAATCTTAGGGAACAGGAAAGAAAAACAAACATGTTATACAGGACACAGTGATAGCATATCCGCCAAATAATTAAAAAGCATTCAAGGCAGCTGAAATACAAGATAAATTGTAGATTTAGAGTGCTTCATAGTTAGAATGGCTTAGAAAACATACTTTTCATAATGGGTACAATGAATTTCTCTGATTCGTTTTGTGAACTTTTCTGTAACTGATATTACTTTGTTAAAGCTAATAAGCCTTATTTTTTGACTCAATGATTTTCCAAAGCAGCTAAACCTTTTGAAATTCTGTTTACTTTTTGAGAAATGACACGTTTGACATAACGGACTGATTTTCTGTGCTTCAGGTTTCACATAACACTAATAATGACATTTAATTATTTTTCAGCATCACTCTCACTCCAGGACAGACCTTTGCAGAGCGCGACAAAAAATTGTATGGTCATGCTATGAATAACCTCCAGTGGCCATTAACTACACAAAATTGCTTTGAAGAAAAGTTGATTTTACTTTACAGGTTTTCAGCATTCCTTCATGTTGAGTTCCACAGGTCCATCACTAAAAACCTACATTTTGCGATTTAACACCTTTACTCATGTAGGACATTTTAAATGATGTTACTTTTTAAATCAATTTCAGAAGTCAATGGTAAACCATGTGTGGACATGAGTACTATAATATGTGGAAATTAATGTCTAGAGGCTTTATTCTGGATGCTAGAGTTTATCAATACCTTATTAGAATGCCTACCAAGAAAGGCAAGAGGTTACAGGTGTATACACTTATTAACAATGAAAGCTTCATTTAGCACAGCTCTGACTAAAGAACTAAGATGATAATCCAGATCAAGCTGTCTAGAAAACACAGTACACTAATCCTCTGCACTTTCTGATGTTGAAATGTTGTGGAGAAACGGTAAGGAAAATCATGACTGAATTTCAGTTCAGTACTTAGTAAATTCAATTTCAAGGTACAGCAGCCATATTTTTGTTTTTTTGATCGTGATCCTTTAGGAAAGAGGGAAAAGTGCTGGCATTTACCAATATGCCATGATTTAGGTAATGAAAGTCAGATTTACGGTCTCCTTACTTAGTGGTTAATCCCTTCCTCATCTTAGGTAGACACTGAGGGTGGAGCTGTCCACGGCACTATCCTGTGAAGCAGGGGAGCCCAAGCTCTGCCCACCAGTGACTACAGTTTGCTCTGTGGAAGCTCACCGTTTCTCAGCTGGAATTACACATTTTTATAACTAGAAAATGCTTCCACTTGTGATGGTACTAAAATTATGGAGAAATGTAAACAGCCCTAGACAGGGCAGAATCCGTCCATTTCTTCTTGGAGACGGTTTACATGCTGTTAGAAAATTATGAGAACTTTTAATAGGTGAAATGGACAACTTTCTGAGTGAAAGATGGGTACTAAAAACAAGGCAAAGAAGGGTCATGGCAAAGAAGTATTTTTCTGCACATGAATATAGACATTTTAGTCATCAGAAGGGTGAAAAAAAGAGAAAATGAACCACAACCCAACATCATTCCCACACAGTTTCATACAAAACACAAGTTTTATTTGACAGTGTTAAGGTCTCAGTACCAATTTGACAATTACAAAAAAAAGAAAAACTACAAACTTTGAGAACAGAAAGTGGGTCTAAGCCAAGTCCTTTTTTAAAAAAAGACAATATTAAAATAAAATAAAAAGAAGCCATTAAAGGAAATGTATAGGGCAAAGCAGTTTGGTTCCCGTTACCTGTGATAAAACGATTGGAGGAGAGGGGGCGCAGCAGAAAGGGGGCCCTGCTGCAATCAGTCTGTTAGTAACGTCACCTGAGGAAAGCGTGGCCGGAGGGCCTCCACTCAGCAGGAATGCACTGCAGTCAGTCCGACTGACTGCTTCACACCACCTAAACCATCTAGGCCCTGCTTCCTATGCATGCAGAAGTAAAGCAGAAGATGAAACAGAACAACCTCTGCACACGACAAGGGCATTCCAGGCTGCTGCGATACTGTCCGAAGTTGGTGGGTTGAGGTGGGGAGGGGCTAGAAAAGAAGATCTTCAGGCTGTGTGCATGGGCTTGTGTTTACTGTACAACATGCACTCAAGCCCACGCAAAGAGGGAGGAAAATACCCCCGGCACCACGTCTGGGCTCATTTGCAAGTGTCGCCACCCTTGGTGCTAAAACGTCTGCAGTGTCAGAAACCAGTTCAGCGAGGTGCTGATGTTGGTAAGCCATCAGAAACCCAGACACCGCACTGCCTGACCAGAGAAAGCACTAAACCAGAGTGGGGGCTGTTCTCTTGACTCTTAGACCTCAAAGGTCTATCTGCCTTCTGGATTAGAAGACAAAATAATCACACGCAAGTGGAGGAATGCAAAATGACTCCACTTGAAAGTCATGCTGTCTGCAGGGACCACAGTGTAATTATCTTCAAATCAAGAGAAAATCTCTGTATCAGCAGCGGTCTTAAAGATCACTCCAGCTGAGAAGTTTTGCATTGAGCAACTGCTAGTTTCTTGCTCATCAATTCCTACGAATTTTTTTTTAATGTATGAGAGCTCGTTTGGCAACTTGTCTGCCATTTTGCATAGGGAACATTAGAATCCTTTTGCATTATTATTGATCTGTCCAGTGTCTCCAGGTGGCTTGTTGCTATGTAGTGTACACAGCAGTATCATCAGTGTAAGACGGCCTCTTAGTAGCTCATTAAAAGTGCTGTTTACACTGCTGTCTCGTTTAACTACATCACTGCTCTCATATCTCAAGCAGCAGGGAATTCACATTGTTAATGCTAATATATAGAAGATAAGATCAAAAGAAAAAGTCTTGATCAAATATTTCCTGATGACATGAGCACTGCAAGAGAATAGATCCTCTGCTTTCAAAGTGTGCACACATTTCTAATTAACCTCGACTTACAGGAGAAGAAATCTATCCAACACATCCATTTCTTAAGCCAACAGAGCCAGTGTGAATGCAGCTCAAACCTCACACGTTACTGACAAGCCATCAACAGTAGGGGACGCCAGAGAGGAGACCCAGGGGCCAGGGGTCCGAGGTAGATAGTCAAAAAGGAAAGACTAAAGATGCCTATGGTTACTGCTAGATTGAGGGCAAGGACAGGAGGGGACGTGGAGGTGAAACAGGGTCTATTAAGTGTTTAGAGGATCTTCAAATATTCCCTGCTCCTGTGGGGTACACAATTGCGGACAGCCGCCACCCAAGGCAGACTGAAAAGTGATTTCACTCTCACTCACTCCCCTTCCTGCATCACAGTCACTGCTGTGCTCTCTGTGCCTTATTATCAGGAGTAAGTGAAGAAGGAACACATGTACAGTAAACGTGACAAAGAGGGCAAGTAAGAGACTAAGAGAAAGAGAGGATGACAGGCAGGCAGAGAGAAGCAGAGAGACCGAGGCAGAAATAGAGCTACAGGGAGAGAGAAATGAGGAGAATGAAGGTGACAGCTGTATCCTGTAGTGCTGTGACCCACACTGTCTTTCTTCTCTCCCTGCCCTGTCAGGTTTGACAAGAAAATGCCCTAATCCCAGTCCTCTGACTGTGCAGCACTCTGCACTCCCTGTTCTAGAGGTACAATACACCCTACTTACAGATTATGTGCTGTCTTACTTTTTATTAAGAAAAATGTAAAAACAACAAATTGTAGGAGAAAAAACTCCAAGCAAACTGAGCCAGGCTGTTCTCTCAATCTCTCGTACGATAAAAACTCCACCGTTAATAAACCAGAACTACAAAGCCGCCTATCACTGCTACTCACCACTCAAACCCTCTGTCAGCAGGTCAGTAAATGATTCCTATTAGAAACAGTAAGCATACATTTTCAGAGAGGGTAAAAAGCAAAGAAAGACAGCCTTCCATGATTGCTTGTCTGAACGTCTTTCTGTCTGTAGCCGACACCAAGGAGCAGAGCGCTGGCAGCGGGGTAGGGGTGGGGGTGTGTGTGTGTGTGCCTCTCTCCTGGAAAAGACTGCACTCACACAGGGGGGCAGATGGAGACTGGGCGTTGGAGGACGAAAATGTGTGAAGGAGGGGGGTTTGGTTCGGTGTTTTGGAAGGTCCTGGGGAGAGGCTGTGTGTCCCCTAATTCTCAGCCACACGGGAAGGAGCGGCCACTGGAGGTCCCACTGGAGCTGGTGCTATTCCATCAGGCTGTCCAGCTGGAGGAGTAGGATCTGTAAAGGGGAGAAGACAAGCTCACTGCTATCGCTCCAACTACACACAGCACTACCATCACCAGGCAGTGCTATTTCTGCTGCAAAACGGACAGCATTTACCTTTACTTCAAACATCTACAGTACCTCCAAAAGTACTGAGAAAGCAAAATCAAAAAATGCTTTCCCATTTTTGCTCACAGTACTGTTGCTTTACAGTCAAGAAATTTATATTTGTGATCATGAGCATAATGCAGTATGCGTACATTCAATATTTTAGTTTGGGGCAATTTCATTCATACACAGAACCCAGTGATTTCAATTGTCTGTAAGAATGGGGACACATTCATTTCAAATTGTAGAGTGTAAAAGGTTGGTTTTTGATTGCAATGGATTGGGAGAACGACCGCTCTGATGCCTGCGACTTGCATCACATTATTTATTTTTTTCCTTTTAGGCAAGGAAGTAAACAATTCAAAATCCAATTCAGATCATCCACTGTAAAAGTGATAAAAAAAGCCACAGAAACCAAAACATGATGTGACATCAACGCTGCGATAATTCCTTTGCTCCCCTGGAACGCAGTGAAACCAACAGGAGACAATGGGAGGTGGGGATCACAGGGGAAAAGTGAGAGGTGAGGGGGGGAAGAGGGGTACTCACACATGCCATTGGGGGCTCCTGGGTGTCGGGGTCCCATCATGGGAGGCATGTTGGGAGGGGGAGGCCCACCAGGGGGCGGGGCACTGGGCATGACACGCCCAGGCATGGGCTGGCTGACCCCTCCCATCGGCCCTGGCAGGGAGAAAACAGGCCAGCGAAGGAGGTTTTAGCGAAGGCTGACCACACAGATCGAGATGGTGGGCTGATACAACACTGACTCACTCAAACTGGATCAAAACAATATGCAGAAACTAGTGGGAGCTACAGAATAGTAAATGCAGGAAGCAGCGATATTAAATATCACACAGGTGAAAAAGAAGAAGCCTTTAAAATAACTTCATATAAAAATAAGTATTAAATCCAGCATCAAACTCAAAGGTTGATGCTGGAATAATCATTTAAAATAGAACTTCAAAGACATGTTACATTTTCTAAATGCTTTTTAGTTCTGCAAACAGGAATGAGCACAGGTAATGCTAAAAATGTATATTTGCAGTGTTAGAAATTTTGAAAATCGTTTAAAGCAATCGTTACCAGTGTGCACATGTAGTGCCCCTGCATCCTATTTTGATAGACTTGCATTGATCTCATCTTTGTAATAATGCTAACAAATATAGCAAACATGCAGAATAAGTTGAAAGCGCATTTCACATAATTCTGTAATATCTAAAATGCCATTGGTGTGTATGTACACGTTAGAAATTAATTTAACCTGACAACTAAAGGTGTTTTCATGATATGCATTTCAATACAGAATGATTACATACAAAGTATTTGATCTTTCAGAGGAGCTCCATTAACATAAACCGCCATATTTAAAATGAATTGTAAGCCAATTCCTTACACCCTCACTCACAGCACAGGATTGTACATCTTTAAAATGCAAGTGGTGTTCAAAACCCACTGACAGCCTCTACACACTGACTGCACCAACACCTCCAGAGCTGCATTACATAAACGATGTATATTCTTTCATTTCTGAATACACAAATACACACCACTGCCGCCGAGGTGTAGCCCCCACCACGTTGATGCAACAGCAGCCAAAGTGTGCCAGTACATTCACCACACATTGGCTTTCAGTGTGGAGGAGAAACAGAGTGATGAAGCCAATTCATAGATGGGAACTATTAGGAGGCCATGATTGGCAAAGGGTAGAGAGAAATTTGGTCAGGACACTTTAGTTAACACTCCTAATCTTTTTTAGAAAATGCCTGGGATTTTTAATTACCACAGAGAGTCAGGACCTCGGTTTTACGTTTCATCTGAAAGAACAGTGCATTTTTATAGTAGTGTCCCCATCACTAAACTCGAGCATTAGGACCCACATGAACCGCAGGGTGAGCACCCCCTACTGGTCCACTAACACCTCTTCCAGCAGCAACCTTAGCTTTCCCAGGAGGTCTTCCATACAGTTATTGGCCAGGCTCTCACCTGCTGACCTTCAGTGGGCTGCCAGTTGAAAGGCACAGGGTGATATAGCTGCTAGCTAGTTAGATCAGGCTGAGTTAAACACTTTCTCCTCTATATTCAGGATGGGAATCCACTGGTTTAATCACAATCCTGGGTCTTCTCGGGGTGTGCACTGTGAAAAGCTGCTCTGTACTGTGCCTCACCTGTCTGTGGGGGATGGTGAGAGCCCATGGGGTGGTGCATTGGGGGGAACCCAGAGGGGGGCTGATGGCCCATCATCCCAGGTGGGGGACCATGGTGGGCCCCGGGATTCTGCGCGGCAGCCGCCTGCTGCTGCTCCATTTGCTGACGAGCCTTCATCTCTGCGTACTTCAGCTGCTCCATGTGGAAAGCCTGCCGCTCCGTCAGCAGCTGCTGTCTCTGCTGCTCCAGCTGTGGAGAGAGCAGGGGGGAGAGAGTGAAAAACACAGCTGGACGGCAAGGGAGAAGAGAGCAGGAAGCAGAGGCAGCGCGGAAGGACAGAGGGTAAGAATGGCATGAGAAACGCAGAGCAAAAAAAAAGAAAAACAGGGAGTTTTTCCAAACAACAAGTTTGGAGATAACGTGAAGGAAATAGACTTAGGATATAAAAAGATTAAAAATGTTTTTCTCTACTTTAGTAAGAATGATTTACACAGCAAAGAAAGAATCAAACTTTACACTGCAGAAATGAAAAGACACATGTATGCCTGGCTGGCTAAAGGGTACCACTGAAGTACAAGCAGTGAAAAAGACGCTTATTGAAAGCCTGTAGCTTCTATGGAGTGAGCAAAAAAAATACAATCCAAATATAATCTGTAGCATTAATCTCTGCACTGGGGCAGAAGGGGAAGGAATGTGGAAATGGTTTTATTGGGGTCGGGACTTTAATGCATTCTTAATGTATGAAAAAACAGGGCTTGTGTATTCTGTCACTTAAAGGCCCTTGGTAAGATCTCCATGAATTTAACGTCCACAAGACTTATAGCCCTTACCCGAATTAATACCACGCCTGAAAACTCTGTGCGAGGACATGAGAGGACGCTGGAATTTCAGTGTGTGGAGGGATTGAAAAACACTACGTTCACGATTCGGAAAATGATGCATAACCTGAAGACTGATAGACAGACTAAGATATGATAATTATCACCCACAGAACAGTTCTCAGTAACTGAAGCGCACTATTTCCACTCAGTTATATAAAAACTCATTGTCCAGGCACTTACTCACAGTTCATCTGATGGTATTCTTTGAGTCTATATTTGGCTGCATGTATTTTGTATAACAGATTGCAAGTGCTTTTCATGCTGTCCAGAGAGCCAGGCTGAGAGAGGACAGTTATTGTGCAGAGGCCAGTGAAGACTCCCTTATGAATCAGACTTCCGTGCTCAGAGGTAAGAGCCAGAGCTGGCAACAGAAACACTACACAGAGGAAACCATACCAATTAAGCTTTATCCCATCACTGTGGCAGACCAAGAGATGTTTCACAAAAACCTACATACTTATTCGGATGACCTTTCATTGTCTTAAAGAGGGGCATATGTCTGCAATTCTGTACGTCCCGAGACATCAGCAGCTCAAGATGAATGCTGGCCACCTTGGATAAATTCCATCTTAGTCTCCAGCTGCTCCTAACATGAGAAGGCTATGGACTGCTGTTTTACTGTTCCTGCCTGCTTTGAGAACGCATTTTTCAAATGGCTGTGCCGACAGGAACCCAAGCATGAAGGATTTTTTCTTTTTTCCTCCCAATTTCTTTCCACTGCAGTAGGAGCTCTTCTTATTCCCTCAGAAAGATTAATTCCTTCCATTTTATCACATCATACATTATATTCCGCCGTGCTGTGGGGTGAAGATACTGTCCTGTACACACGCTTCACTGCTCTGCATTTATTCACTGAGGCAGGCCCAGTCTCTTAAATCTAATCACGATCTTAACAATAACCTCAGCTCTAGTGCTTAATAAGCCCCACCCTAACTCTATCCCTAGCCTTAATCCTAATCTTGTTTGCAGACTGACATCTGAATCAGAGGTGCACATCTTGGAACAACAGAGCTCGGCTCACACAATCTCAGCCTGGCCTCACTGGCTCAGCTGAGAGCCCTGAGAACCTCAGTCCTGGAGCAATTTCAAATCGGGATAACATATATATTGAACAACTTAAAATGGTTGATAAAACCTTAAAATTCTTATTTGATAAGAAATATGTGCTTTATTAGGCATTAATATAACTGTATAGAATTAAACAGGTAGATTCTACAAAGACTGGAAAAACATCACGAATGACTGAACAGTAGCCCGCTGTGATTTGACGATTAACTTATAGTTAATAAAAAATGTTATTCATGACCTCTTTTCAACTCACAACTGCTGTGCAAGACGCATTACACAACACGCTTAAAAAATTGGGGAAAATAAGATGGCAAATTGATAAAATCACAGGTATGATAAAATGGGTCACTAAAAGCCTTAGCAAAAAGGTATGTCAGGTCTTTAAATCATTTCTGTTGACAGAGTGTCTAATGGATTTGGGCAATGATTTACAAAGATGTGGAACTGCAAGAGAAGGCTCAATTATCTGCTACGTGGAGCAAGGCGTTTGGCAGAGGAAGAAAGCTTGTATCATAGGATCTTACATTACGTATAAGACATAAGTTGTGCATTTAGTTCCTAAGATTATTGCTAGACCATTCATACTTGAGCAGGAGAATCTTAAAATGCCACTCTTAATGTCCTATGGAGCCACTGCAATTTACATGGAACAAGGTTATGTGCTGATGCAGGCTAATTGTAGTTACACCAGTAAGTTAGTTATTGTATTACACTAATCATGATGAGGTAAAAGCATCAATCCATGTTTCACAAATCTTGCACTGCAAGGGTCTTAACCACACAATGCTGCATAGATACATTGTGATGCTGCCTAAAAACTCACTTAAAATAATAAGCCAAGGAAAAGATTTGTAACTTGGGAGAAAGGACTGATTTCAGCACCATCAATGACATCAAGGTACCAGCTTTGCTAAATGGATGTTAGGCACTTACAGGCAAAAACCTGTCTTGTCATAGTTAAGCATAAAAAGAAAAAAAGAGAAAACATTTTTTGGGACAGCAATCTGAGAGATTGGCAGGATGAGCAAGGCTGTGCAGTGGAGGTATGAATGACACCAAGCCTGAAAAGCAGGACCTCAGGGGCTACTGCTCAGAGGGCTTCAGGCTCATCACAGAGAGAGAGAGAGAGAGAGAGAGAGCCTGAGAAAGTGGGAAGGGGTGGGAGAAGCATAGAACCGAGAAGAAAAGAGTCTCTATTCATTTAGGAGGGGAGAGAAAGATGCAGGGAGGGCGAGTTCAAGCCAAGCCCCCTCAGCCTGTGCCAATTTGCTGTATTAGTCCTATTCTCCCTACTGCCAGTAGAGAATTGGGGGCCAAGGCTGAAAATGCCCTCTGCTGGGAACAAAAAGAAGGAATAACCTTCTCCTTTCTTTCCGTATGGGAATCTGGAGGATGCTGAAACATGTTGCTAGCGAGAAGAATTTGAAACTAACCAACAGTCCTTTTTCTGCCTTCTGAGTACATATCCTATTGCACTTCTAATAGAAATATACACTGTAAGATCAGTACATCTAACAGAAAAAAAAACATTTAATACAGATATACCATGCATGCATCATGCCTAATATTAAAGTGAAACAATGACACAAATTCTAAAAACAAATTGCGAATTAGAAAAGCTAAGGTGGGCACAACACTAGAGGCACTGCAGGGCAGTTTTTGAATTACGAAAGTGATTTAAGGCTATGAAAATATTTTTCAATGCATAGACATTCAAGATGGCAAAAATGAGGTATTTCAGAGTCAAAATCTAAATGGCAACTATTTGTACAATACAAGTGACTATGTAATTTATACAGGTCTGCAACAAATTAAATGCCAACACCCAGACACTTAGTGATCTCAACACACATCTGGATGATGTTGCTGTGTATTTTATTTCTGCGCATACAGTGCCTTGCAATGGCGTCTTGTTGAAATGTGCCTAATAAACACTTTTTAAAATGAGTATATTAATCAAAACTAGACAGTTAACAGGTTTATGCATGAAATGTATATGTCAGCAAGAGAAATAAAGAAAACATTTTTTTTTTTTTAAATGTGTACATGTTTGTAACTGAACAAAGTAATGGGGCATCACTAGAAGGGGGGTGAATGCTTTTGCAAGGCACTGTAAAAAAAAGGTGTTCTCTGAACTATCTAAATGGCACCTAAATTGTTCTTAATTAACACACGAGTGCAAGGGGTGGGTGAAAATGAGAAACGGCTGCATGAGGCAGTACTGCAAACCCGGAGCCTTCAATAACAGAATTTGAATGCTCTCAGAGCCATGCAAGTACAACTTAATTCAGCGTTTACCTTAAAGTGCTCTCGGTAGCACATAAGCAGAATCGCCACCCACTGCTGGGGCTCAAGACTAGCTTGTTAGTAAAATCTTTTAATTAGACAAATCTGACATCCTCACACCTCTCCCCCATCTCTCCAGTCTCACTGCCCCTCTACACTTGCCTTCAGACACCTCCTACAACTTGCCCCAGTGACAGAACCATCACGTCACATATGGTGGGATACATTCATAAGCCCTCACAGACTGAAGTGCAATCAGACAGCATTCTCAAGTACAGAAGGCCAGTACCTCTTTCAGGCATTGTTGTATTCTAATGAGAGTTAATTCATTTTCACCAACATGGTATTCCAATGTCCCCTCCTTGAGCACTCTTATCAGCTGTCAAACTGCCTCAGTGCTCCTCCTGTCCTTCAAGTACTTAAGAATGACAGACTCCTTCTTAAGAGCAAAACAGCCTCCACTTGAATGACTGGCTGGCATACTGACTCCTTAAGAACATCTTAGTCCTCCTGTTTCTCCTATCTCTGCCTTCTTCCCACCTCCCCTTTGATCCAACTCACCGCCTCCTTCTCCCTGTCCATGATGGTCTCCAGCTCTTCAAAGTGTCTCAGCTTGATCTCCAGCTTCTTCATCTGTGTCTCCACCAGCAGGGCCACCAGTGACTTGATCTTTCTCTCCTCCACTGCAGCCAGGTGCTGAAATACACAGAGGTGCACTGTGGAACAGATGGAGGATCGCCTGGGGAAGTACTACTGTACTCATAATGTTAAGCCTACCCAGGAACAAACAGAAATTGTCAGGAAGCCATTTCCTAGACAATATTAAATGGAGGACTCTGAAGCACCCATTTTCCCGCAATGACTACAGAAACTGGCAGGGTGTGGCGTGTACTCACCTTGGCTTTGGTGGCCGCAGAAGCCAGGGCAGCAGCAGCAGCTGTGGCAATGTTGCCCTCCTCCACCTCAGGCTCCACTTTCTTTCTGCCATCTTCCCCCTCGCCCTCTTTACTGATCTCACCGCTCTCCTGGCTCTCCTCTTTCTCCTTGTCTGGAAAATACACGATACAAGACCCCCCAGTAAGTCCGGAAACAGAGCTCTACCTGCAAGTCCTCCATGACTCACAGTTCTACCCTCCCAATCCCTTTACTCCAACACTGGGCCGAACTGCCTCCGTCTCCTAGAACCTCAGTTTTAATAACTTCATGATGACTCATAAGAACAGTTATAATAAGAGGAGGCCATCTGGAATGTTTGGTAGTTAATATCTAAATGTTCCAATTGAGTCGTTGGTTTACCCTTTGGGTAAAAATTGTACCACTATACTTGGTTTTAAATGCTTTTCTGTGGAGAAAATCCATCTCTCCCAGTCCCTCCATTCTAATCACTGGCTCGCACAGTGTCTATACTCTGAGTAATGAAATGACAGAGTCAGACAGCTAGAAGCTCCACTGCCCAGTGTTTTTGTCCATTTTGTAGCAGAAAATACTGATATTTGTGTAAATCTACCTGTTTTGCTTTCCTCTCCTCCCTCACTTTCAGCTTCCTCTCGCTCGCACTCCTGGGACTCGTTCTTCATCTTCTCTCTCTCAGGCTGTCTTTCTGTTGTCTCGCTGGGCTTCTCAACCTCCTCTTTGCTCTCAGCCTGAAACGGGCAGGTCAGACAGGTGAAGTGGACTGACCCATGTTTCGCAGGACAACGAAACCTTAGTGTGAGGCGGAGAACTGCTGGAGCTCTAATGCTGAGTATTTCTTACGATCCCATTCATCTCCAGTCTGCACTACTGACACCACACCCCAGCTGACTGTACTCCTAAGGTATAAAAAATCATCAGACCTTAGAACAGTCACTGCAACTTTACTTCAAAATACCTTAGTAGTGATGTAATAAATCAGTGATTGTAAATAGTTTGTGGGGTATAGACAGAAAAAGAGCAGTAAAGGAGCTACAAATAACTACTAATGTGAGATAAATACAAGCATAGTGTATGGAGAAGGTGGGAATGTGGTGTTCTGTTAGTTTATGGCTAATCACAATAACCCAAAGTGCACAATAGTATCTGACCAGATCAGGCTGGATGGCACCTTGACACACAGGTTTAGAGCTTCTTTTTCTGTTCAATCCATTAGATTCAACACAGTTCTGTCTTTCAGTATACTTGACTAAAGAGTAAGGTCATGGTTCTATGGCATTGGACCAGCCACCAGTAACTGAGACACTGGTCCACCCACTCACCTTCTCAGGCTGCTGGGAGTCTGAGTCAGTCTCCATCTTTTCAGGCTCTGTTGATTCTGTAGGGAGAGGAAACAAAAAGAGTACAGACTCAATCAGGCTAGACCATGTTGTCTGCTGCACATTAATGCATGGATTACAAACCCCACCATAAAGACAGGCCTTGCTTTCTTTATATTCCAGGTGAAACTCTGCTTAAAATGCAATCTAGGCACAATGGTGGAGAAATCTACCACCTTTTCAAGATCCCATTAACGCTTTCAACATTTTATAATCCTTCTTGACACAGGCCAATTAAATCATTTAAATTGTAATGGATATTTTCCCCCACAAAAAAATAATGATCAGAATCTTTCTCTCACTGAGATATTTGCCAAAGAACATTCGTGGTAGTCTTTACCCAGTGTGCCCAGGATCAGGTTACTGAGACTGTAGAACATACAACACTGCTGACATTCTGTAGGAATATTACAAATATCACAAAAATTGTTTGTATAGTAGCTTTTTTTGCCACAGGATTTGAGGCACTTTACAGACGAAACTGAGAACAACTGAAATACTTGATATGTCTTGAAAATGTCTGTCTCTTGACAGATAAATGTCATTGTTGCAGAGTAAAGGTACTGTTCTCTTAATGCAGCTCATTCAGCGCATAATCCATAATGGTGATAAGCATCATCTTATTGGTTCCTGGAAAATCAGGTCATGGGAAGAGACCTGTTGTTAGGGGAATAGGGCATTTTTAGCTGGCCAATCAGACTGGCTTAGCCATCAAGGTCCATCAATCAGTTCTTTAGATATATCACCCCTTTGTCAGGCATGTGCCATCTTCTCTCATATGCCCAACAAGAGTGAATTTATCACCCTTTCCAATGCCAATCCTAACCCTGGTAAAGAAATTAAATACTTCCCGAGCCAAACTGTGTGTCACAGCATCAGGCTGCACAACCAATAATTAACTACCAACAACTCACAGAAAACAAACTAACAGCCATCCATTATTGAAGAGGAATACAGCAGTTAGCAATTGCCTGAATGAATGATTAATATTTTAAAGCAATGTTCAAACCTGAGGGAGTTCACAGTGAGGCAGTCCAGAGCATCACGCACAAATTGCACTTAGGTCCAGATCAGGATTTACACACTTCAAACTCTGGCACGAATCATACTGATGAAGTACAAAAGTAATGTAATTTTAATTCATGTCTAACTTATGTTGCATCTGCTTAAGTACTAACCTTGGAACGCAGAACGCCTTGTATTTGCTCATGTGAGAGACTGCAAGTCGAAACTAAAATGTCTGTAAACAAATTGGGACCTTAAAAGGTCTGAATCCGCTAGTGCAACTTTGAAGGATGAAGCCACTCTATTCCTAAAACGTTTAAGTTCAAAACACCGCATATATATTGCTGTAACTTTATAACAAGAAGGACAAATGGCATTGATGTCTCTGCATCATTAAACGGATTCAAACCTTAAAAAAGCTGAGGAAGTAAATGTATTCAAACCAGACTCAAGAACGTGATTAATGAGGTCTGGAGACTGCCTACCTGAACCCTTCCCCCCACACTACTAGCAGACCAAAGCATCAGACATCAAGACTTCCCCAAGAGAGGAAACTAGGGCAGCAAAAGGGCAAGGCAGCTGGGGGCATGGCCACATGTATACGAAAAGCTCTAGGTGGGGGAGTCAGAGCATTGTGGCAGGGTACAGCACTAAGATCTAATCACCCTGACCCACTTCTTCTCCCCTCCCCCACAGCAGCCCCATCTGCCACAGCCTCCCTAATCCAGTGCCTGTGTCAAGGCAGCCTGATCCACAGAGGGGAGAGACACCCCATGGGCACAGCGAGGGTACAGACATGCTGCCCACCCCCCACTGCTCTCATTGAACTCTCGCTTATCGAGACTCTTCTGCATCCCTATGTGAATGCTTCTCAGCTGATGGACCTGTGCTGTTTCCGTCCCCCTATGTTCATCATAAGATTCTCATTATGTTTTATGCATGCTCACAAATTACCCATTGCGTGTCCTAAGAGGTTTGCTTCAGAAAGAGTGTGTAGCTTGATTTTTCACATCTTGGTTATGCAGAGAGGCATAAATGGAAAGGGAGAGAGAGAATGCATAGCAACAGCCTGCAGCACATAGGCAGTGGTGGTGGAAGCAGTCAAGAGTAAAGGGCACTGAGCCACAAACAGCCATCACCCCCTCCCCTGCTTGCAGCTTAGTGGGCCTCCACCTCAGGCCCTGTCGCACCACTGCCCTCTGCTGCCAGTATCCGAGACACACCATTCCAATACTGTACATAAATTCATCAAGACACATACACAGAAACATTTTGTGATGGTCATGTCAGCCTCTACATGATCACACGGAAACTAGGATGGACATTTCTACAGCACAAGTGCGTTTCTGCCACACATCTGAAAGTACCTGTCTTTTCGGGCTCGTCAGGACTGGTCCCTGCGATGCCGCTGCTCTCCAGGCCATAGGCCGGGTCCAGTCTACCCGTGCTTCTCGCGGCTTCCTGCACTTTCTTCACATGGGCCTCAACCAGCTCGGCCGGGACCTCCTCACGTACCCGTGAAAACTCCTCTGGAGGGTTTGGGAAACGGGGAGAGGCGTGAACTCTCTGACAGTCGACGGACACAGAGGCAGACAGGTTGGCATATCTACGTAGGTTTGCAACCAAAACTTCAAGGGGAACTGAAACGCTATTTTCATATTTCGGCGTTGGAAAGCATCAGCGTGGATGATTGCAATTCAAACCACAATAAAAGCCAAATGCACACACGTAAAACTTCCAATCTATATCACAAAACAGACTAAATTTCCAGGTACGTGCAATGCCATCTTCTGCAATTCAGAACAAGGCAACTTTTGGCGAGGTGAAGTGGCCCTGTTAACATTGTAAAAAAGCAGGCTTGCGAATACATCTCTTTAATCTAATAGACATCTCTCTTGACTTTGAGATGGTCCTGCCGACAACTACTACTTACTTGTTCCATGATCTGAACGAAGAGTTAATATTTTGGAGGTGAAACGTCTGCTTTGCAATTTTAGTCATTGCAGTGACTAGCGAGCAGGAAGGGCTGCCTCACGTCAGTTCGTGGGAGACCAGGGGTTTGCAGAAGCATGGGGACTTACAGTACTTTCACAAAGTTCACAATTTTGTGCTTGATTCGAAACGGGTAAAATTTTTCTATACCGTCAATGAATTAATTTTGTTACTGAGATTTAATAACCGGTCTGAAAAACTGGGATGGCAGTTCCCCTTCATCTCGAGGCAGAGATGTGTTGTGTTGAAAAGTGGACGAAGGAGGAATGATGTCTCACCCAGTGCTGCCTTGGCCGCGGCGGCTGCCACCCGAGGGTCAACCACAGAGGCAAGGAAGGCCACCGTGCTCATTACGGGATTTCCCGACTGGCTGAAAGGGACGGGCTGGTAGGCCAGCGGGCCCAGGGAGGCGTCCGAGTTCTCCAGGTAAGGGTCCTCAATGGGCAGCCTCAGGAAATGAAGGATACACTCGTCCTGGGTGCGGCTGCCCACGTGCTCTGACACCTTGTTCCAGTCATCCTTGTACATCTCCAGGGCCTGGGGCAGGTAAGAGGGGGTTACAGAGATCATGCAAGAGAAACTGACTGTGGGAGGGAAAGGATGGCAAAACACTGCACAATTTCAAACTTTACATCACAACACATTTCAGAACCTGGGAGAGGGGCTATTATAGTAATAGTGGTCTATTGGTCAAGCTACTATTGATATTAATGTCTGCATCTATCCAACAGTTTTCAGCAAAAAGGAACCCAAAGCACTTTAAATAAAGGAGAAGAGCCTTTTCATGCACCCTGATGTGCGACGCACAACAGCTTTCAGGTACTGCCAGCCCCACTACACAACAGATCAGGTAAAGAAGTAATAGTTTAATTAGTTTTTGATGAGAACCGGTTATAAGATGGCAACACTGTTGTCAGTCTGCTTGTGCATAATTTTGTCTGAATAAAATTTATAAGACTCTTGGTTTTGATCTATCTGCTATTCAGGTACAAGTGTCACTAAGGTGTGTGACATTTTGTTTGTATACTAAAGCAGTTACGTATGATAAGGAAAAGAACTGAAGGGTAGTTTGATACAAAGTAACTTAAATATGAACGTTTTTATTTGCATAGTACCTTGCTGATAAATTAAATATTTTGGGAGATCCCCACACTGAGATTGAATGCAAATGAAAGACAGTACATTGGATGGGTAGCTACAAACTTTAAGGGCTGTGGATGTTCAAGTCCATAAAAATTAAAGACTCACAGCTCAAGCTTAAAATTAAAAGATACTAAACCAAATCATGGTAAAAGGAGGTCAGGTATGTTCTAAGGAAGTCTACTGACATGTGTCTGTCTAAGGTAACAGCATAATATTTGCTAAAATGAGCAAAATCTTATTTTTTAAGCAGAATACAGAGCATGAGAACCAGATTTTAGCATTTCTAGGTAACTATGGACTAACAGAAAATAAAACATTCATTTCTAGACAAACTTTACAAATCCAATACACGACTATCAATGCTAATATTAAAGATGACTTCAATAAATGACAGCCTTCTCAATACATGAATCTCACTGAATGTCTGCAGCAACTTTGCACTCTTTCTCACCTCTAAGAGCAGCAGGGTCTCTTGTTCAGTCCACTCCCTGCCAGCACTGCCTCCTTTACTCTGTAGAGACAAAGAACTACTGTTACTTCACACAGGCCTGAAATCTAGTGACTCTGAGACAGGATAGGTCTGCCCCAGCAAAAACATTAACAGTTACAGATGATATATGATTACAACTACAGGCAGGTTCTGAACAGCACATAAGAGTCTGGCTAGTATCATCCTCTCCAGTATGTTTTTGAACTGCTAGATGAAATTTTCATTGCCATTAAGGATACGTTTCTATATAAAGGCTGAGAGCTTGTGTTACTCTGGAAGAATCCAGAGACAACACTAAACTATACACTACACCAAAAAAGGTTGTATATTGAGCTGTTTTCATGCTATCTCATGCCTGAGAACTACTTGCACTTCACTTTTGTGTGGACATTCAATGTGTCCAGTTGCAACTTAAGTCTGTAAAACACTACAGATTGTAGCCTCATGTAAGGTTACCGATTAAAAACAGTTTATGAAGTGATTTTGCCCAAGACTGACATCACAACTTTCAAAGCTCCATGTACAGGCTAAGACATTGCTCTTTGTTTTCCCAACTACAAATAAAACCACTATCCCAAAGCCATCTCGAAGTATAAAAAAACATGTTTCCCTTTTCATTTTTTATAACTGTTGCTAGAACTTTTTGCAATCAAATTGATGAAACCAGAAAAAAACTGTCAGACTCCCCTGTGTGTCTGACTGGACCGAGCCTATCTCACCTTGGGGTTCTTTTTGGCGTAGATGTCAGTGCGGAGCCCAAAGTTCTGGAGGTCCGTGGGTTTCTCTTTGCCCTTTTCTGGGAAGTTCAGCATCTGCTGGGAAGCTGGGACCTGAGGACAGGAGAGAGGAGAGAGCTGTCATTTCAGCCTGGCACAAACAGGAGGCTTCCTGCCGGCTCACTCCAGAGTCAGCAATATCCAGTGCCCAGAAAAATCACAGATAAAGCGAAAAACCAAGAAAGGGAGTGAAACAAAAAACCTGAGAAATCACAGACCAATACATCTTTACTCTGCTGTGTAAGAATACTGAATCAATGACCAGAATGAGAGAATCTGTATGGGATTATGATTTTAGTGCCAGTCAGCATGGATTCAGAAGGGGTAGTTTTGCAATTGAGAGGGGCAAGTAGAAAGGTAAGTAGCAGACTGTCAGGGGACAGTTTCGGGAGTACCTGGGGAGGGCGGTGGTGGAGAGGCACCAGCCCAGAGGGGGTGTCTGCCAGCACGTTGAAGTGGGGGGTTGGCGGGGGGCCCATGGGCAGTGGCCGGCTCTCCGCATCCACCTGGTAATTGATCAACCCCCACTGTTCCAGGAAAGCATGAACCCTGGGAGACAGACAGGACAGTTAAGCATACCGATTTACAACACTATCGAGGGGAAAAAAAAGATCAAAGTACAGCATAGAAGGGGCTATTAGCACTTTGGACATCTACTACACCTTACCTGAAAAATAAAAAGCAGCCGAGACATTTAACAAAAAACCCTTGGTTGGCAGCGTAAAAAAGCCACACTTGCTCCCTGGACCCAAAATGTCAGAGATCCCCGACTGAAGTCCTCACTTCCCCCTTTCTCACCTCATCACAGCGCAGACGTCCCCAGTCAGGTTTCTCCGACAGGATGTGGAGGTGAGGTACTCCTGGGGGTTCAGCCGGTACGTATCGATCATGAAATTACGGTACGCGAGGTATCTGAGGGCAAGAGACAGGAACATTTTCATTTGCAGCCGATCTCTTTCTTGATGAAGCTTATTACGTTTCTAATTGAACTATTTGATTTTTAAAACGGTTGCATCTTTTCAATGGCAGAAAAAAAACATGAATCTTGTGCCACATGCCAGATTCCAGGATTGCTCCAAGTGACCAGTGGGAATATAATGAATCTATAAATTCCTAAGAATGCGAATTATCATAGTGATTGACCACCTTCTATAGTATTAAATGAACAATTTATAGCTAGGCAAAATAGAAGATCATTTTCTACAGTTCTTAGAAATAACACAAATGGATTATTCAATAAGATCTAAATCAAAATCAAGCCACTGCTTAAATTTAGTGTTCAATAATTTAAACTGAATGGAAAGTTCAGAATAAAATCAAGATGAGACAGAACTGGAAAAACACCTGTTTTATAAACAAAAAAACATCTAAACATCTAATTCCTATTCTCGCTTGCAGGCCCCACTCTTTAAACACTCACATCTCGGGTGACTTGGACTTGTTCTTGCCATTGAAGAACTCAGGTAAGGCACGCCTCTCAATCTCGTGGATACTGGAAGACATTCAGGGAAGGAGAACAGAGAACGTTAGATGGATCTAGGTTTTTTAAGGGACTGTGCAGGGCAACCCCCCAAATCAGATCATATATCAAAATATTGAAATGTCGAGGAGCTTAGAACTAAGCTTTCCGTAACCCTATATTCTAAATCAACAACAATAATATCCAATAAATTTGAGTTGTAGGGCAAATAGTTTTAACAGCATTTAAAAAGAACCAGGTCTGACCACCAGTACAATCATTTCATGATATCAATGGTGCAAGACTGAGTTTGGAGTACAATGTTTTTGATTCACATGAGCAACAAATTAAGATTAAGAAAATGAGAACCTTCACAATTTCTGACGACCGTTTCATTCTCATATAAAGTTAGGGATATGAAAAAAAAAACAGTGAGGCTCATTAGCCTCTCCTCTCCTCACCAGTTGTAGTCAAACCAGGAGGCATAGCTGGGGATGATGATGTGGTGCGTCTGCTCTGTGACGTTGTCCTCACTGGAGTCGATCAGCCGGTTCACCTCGGCCTTGCCCTGCTCTTCCTCCTCCTGCAACAGCAGCACTGTTCAAGTTCCACTCAAAAAAACACATTCTGCAACTCCGGCCTCCATTAACATCACAACGCCCATATCAAAAGCGATTAGAGGCTTCAATCAAGCACAAAGTTCTTAGGTTTTGACAAAAACGGTTATCAGCTCGCTTTACCGTGGGGCTACAGAAAGACATGTATGCATGGTAAAAAGTTTTTATGCATAGAATGAAATATTGAGCCATCAATTTATCCTATAGTGTCCGTCTAAAAGGAATATCAGCCGTGGGTATACATTCGTTTTTTTACCTTGCCTCCAGTGACCATGGGTTCATCCTCCTGCTCGTCTGAAAAGAGAAAAGAAAAATGAAAACAAAACAAAATTTCTGTCATTCAAGTTCACGGATATTGAAAGTCAATCTCTAAAACAAACACATTTCTTGTTATACACGGATAAATTACATTTGCTCCAAGTCTTCCAGTTTATGACAACCTGATCTGCTGTTAAGTGTATAGAAATTAGCTTGTATTACCAGCACTAAGGAGAATGAAGGTAATTCATACAAAACTCCCTGTGCCGACACTACAATTAAACAAATAATAGAATTATTCTAGAGATGATTCTCCAAATGGCCCTACAGGCTGTCTACAATTCTCCCACAACTGGCCCAGTCTACTGTAGCCAGCAGCCATATCACTCTGCAACTCACAACTGGCAACCCACTGAAGCTCAGCAGGTGTGAGCCTGGTCAGTACCTGTATGGGAGACCTCCTGGGAAAAACTAAGGTTCATGCTGGAAGAGGTGTTAGTGGGGCCAGCAGGGGGCGCTCACCCTGCGGTCCATGTGGGTCCTAATGCCCCAGTATAGTGACGGGGACACTATACCGTAAACAGGCGCCGTCCTTCAGATGAGACGCAAAACTAAGGTCCTGACTCTCTGTGGTCAATAAAAATCCCAGGGCGTTTCTTGAAAAGAGTAGGGGTGTAACCCCGATGTCCTGGCCAAATTTCCCATTGACCTTTACCAATCATGGCCTCCTAATAATCCCCCTCTATGAATTGGCTTCATTACACTGCTCTCCTCCGCACTGATAGCTGATGTGTGGTGAGCGTTCTGGCGCACTATAGCTGCCGTCGCATCATGCAGGTGGATGATGCACATTGGTGGTGGTGGAAGGGAGACCCCATTACCTGTAAAGCGCTTTGAGTGGAGTGTCTAGAAAAGTGCTATGCAAGTGTAAGAAATTATTATTATTATTAATTACTGTACTCACCCAGATCGGCCACGGTGCCTCCCTTTACTGGGGTGTTCTCACTGTCCTTCTTTGGGTTCACTAAACAGAAAGAGTATCAGACAGCTGTCACATTCAGCAAACAGGATAAGACCTAATGATGGAAAGTGACCCATGTCCTCAAGAAGATTAAATCTATACCCAGGTTTGTGTTAAACACATGCTGGTGCCCACAGTTGTCTCTCAAGCTAAATCCCAAGACAATGCTTGAAAACACGTCTTCTATGTTTCTAGTGTCTTGAAATGCAGTTTTCCATTAGTTTGTTTCTTTAAAAGGTTGAAAGAGCAAGTCATCATTGCAGTTTATCCATAATTAGGAACGCAATCATGCCATCAAGGACAAGGTAAAACGAACAGCATTGTGGATGAGTCATTCCTGAGGAGACCGGTTTCGTGAAGACTGAACCGATAGGTCTTCTGTGGAAAAAAATATGCAAGCTGTCATTTCGGACGCTTTGTTTGCATTTTAATTTTTTTATTGACTGAAAATCAATTTTGTATACAATACAAACTACATACTGCTGTAGAAACTGAGTAATAAAATCCACCTCAATGAATAATGAGTGCAGAAAAAATGCATTAAATGTGGCACACAGAGGGTCATTCTGTGTCAGAGCAACCCAGGTCCTCGAGATGATGATTTTGTGTAACACAGGACTTCTCCCAAAGCACAAGCCGACTTGTCTGGTAAAGGGGCTCGGAGAGCATGGGAGGAGGAGGCAGGAGGATGTACCGTTCTTGGGCAGAGTGACTTCCTCCATGTTCGGCACAGGCGTAGGGTCCTCCATATCCTTGGTGAGATCCTCCTCTGGCTCCTCCTCCTCGCGATGGCCACGCCGCTTCCAGTATGGGCCGGGGTGGCTAGACGGAGAGAATGAGTGAGTAAAGACACCAGCTCACAAAGGGTCAAAAACCACCTGCAAAATATTTCCACATTCGTGCTGCACTTTCCACCTTTCCTGGCCAGACATATTTCCTAAAAAACGGCAAACGAAAAGGAAATGTTTAAATGGTGGGCTGCGCACGACTGCATTTTGACATTCAAGAAAACAAAAGGGGTACATGCAGTGTGTGGATGTTAAATGTTTCAAAGACATAAGCACTGTGGGGTTTTGGAAAGCAGAACCGGACCCATGCTGGAACAGATCCTTAATAGCCGGCTAACGCCTATCAGGAGGCTTGTCATCGCACCCCCCCCTCGGCACGTACCCCTTCTTTCCTCCCTTCTTGCGGGACTCGACAGGGGTGGGCGGAGGAGAAGGTGAACGCCGCCGCTTTTTCCCACTGGCAGCTGCCTTCCTGTCCTTGCGGTCAGGAGTGCGGGATGACTGTGCCAAGACAGATTGAGAGAAAGGGTGAGGGAGGGCCAGGTCAGAACTGAGGACAGACACCACTGTTTCAAGCTCATGCTGCAAGCCGAGTGAGAAAACACCTCCCATACACCCCAGCTGAGGCAAGCTATGCCAAACTGCAGCTGAACTAACCCGCCTGACTCCTCCCAAGTCACACTAAACAGATCTCAACCCACAAACACACACGGTATATACTTGAGCTAAGAGCATATTTTACATCTACTATCATAAGTCTATTTTACAGACTATCAAGTCCATTCTAACCGATTTATCCATTACAAGGCAGGAAACAGCTTGGATGGGATGCCAGTCCATTGCAGGGTATATACACACACAAACACATATACTAGGCCCAAGTAAGATACAATAATGTCTTTGGTCTGAAAGAGGAAACCCATGCCAACACAGGGAGAACATACAAACCCCACAAATTGAACTTGGTGTCCCAGCGATATGAGGCAGCAATGCTAACCACTGTGCCAAAGTGGCAATCTGTGTTCTACCAAAATAAACTTAAGTACAGCCCACTGTCCCCTATTACAGAGTGCTCACAGCTCCCAGGGGGCTTCACTGCACAGATGGTGTGAAGGACTGCCTCTTAATAACACCTCAAAAAACAGGTGGGCTCATCTTTCACACTATCGCACTGTTTCCTCCCTTTTCTCTGCGTATTTTCTTTTTTTTTTGCCTGTATGTAGTTCATTTCTATTGTTTCCTCTGTAGTCTTTGGCTCCCTGCTGAACAAATATTGTCCATGTTAACAAATATGAGTTCCCCACAGCCCAATGTAAATATCTGGTAGGAACCCAAGGCTCGGCCAGCGCTGAAATCTGACAAGGACAGAGCTAAACAGAACGCAGAAGAGGCATGCTCTCTCCCTCAAGCTGCAGCCCCCCGGCGCCGCCCCCGTCTGCCCAGGCTCACAGCGGGGGGCCTACCTCCTCATCGCGCATGAAGATGCGCTGGCGGAAACTCACAGGCTTCTTGCTCTCGTCCACTTCATAGTCCTCCTCGTTCATCCACTCGTTGAAGGAGTCCGTGTCCAGAACCCATTTGGCGTGGACCTGCAGGACACAGAGGTCGGTGACATTGAAGGAGAGCAACATGCAAGAGGCATATACACCTACTTCACAGCCAGCGGCAGACCTGGGCCTGCTGTGTGCCAGAAATCCTATACAAAAACCAAAATTGCATCCCTTGTATCTCCATACTCTCTTTGCAGCAGTGAGGACATTCATAGTGAAGTACATCAGAGGCAACTTATTATGGGACTCCTCGTTCTTTGAGATCTGGATGGGTACAATTTATTTTAATGTATACTTAAAAGTAAAAAAAAAAACATCTGCTTTTTATTTTATACTGCTACTTATTTATGTTTGTTTATAAATAAGTTCCACTTAAGGCGTTTAATCCAATGTTTATTTTCTGATGACACCATGCCTTTCCCAGGTCATGCATGCATAAGTGCATTCAAAGATAAACTCTATATATTCAAAAAAACCGAACAGTTGTCCAAGAACTTCAAATAAAACAAATTCTGCTTATGTGTGCTTGTCCGAAGGTCACTGCAAGGTGTACCAAATGTTAGGACCTTGCTGTTGCGCTACCCATAGTCTCCTTGGCAAATTACATGCCATTAGGCACCATGAATCAAGGGACATTAATAGGTAACTTTTCATGATCACAGTTAAGTGGACAGGTTGATGGTATAAAGGTGTTACAGATCCTTACAGTGTTTAGGAACAAGTAATAGGTTTATTCCTTGCTGAAAAAAAGAAGAAAGAAAACAACGTTTCGGCCGTGGAGCCTTCATCAGGTGTGGAAGAAGACGCCTGAAGAAGGCTCCACAGCCGAAACGTTGTTTTCTTTCTTTCTTTCTCCTTTTTTCAGCATGGAATAAACCTATTACTTGTTCCTTTGCAGCCTACGCATGCTGACGCAGCTACCCACCTGAACTCGTACAGTGTTAAAACTGAGCTTGAAGGTTGCTTGTCAGCACTTGCTGTTCATAAATTTTAGACATTATCAGACACCCTTTTTCTAATTTGCTCAGTTTTACTTCTGGTTATGTGCTTAACTACATGGCAGCTAAAAAAAGTTTTAAATCGGAACAGGTGCATGTTCATGAACTAAACAAAGAGATGAGAACTTTGTATACATGTACGTTCCAGCTATCAAGAGATTTTTCAACACTGGATACAAATGGCACTTAATGAGCGAGGGATCTGAGCTCACCTTCCAAGGTTTCTCAGGGTTGGGCGGCTCTTCCACTTCCCCATCCACATCACTGGCTGACACCCAGGTATCATAGCTGCAGATCAAAGAGGCAGGTCAGCACAAACTGACCAGGGAGGTCACACATCTTGCTCTGCAATGCCTTAGGCACAGGGACTCCCAGATGGACCAACCATGAAAACTGTACCTGTAGGGAACTTCTAAATTTATCCAGCTGAAGGACTAGGGCACAACCACTTCATTTACTAATTATTCTATAGTGCAGAATAACTTTCACTGCTGTCCACTAGGAACATTTGGTGACTGAATCACCTACATGGAGCAAAGGAACAGCTGAAGGTTACTAGCTGAGTAACTGGCCTATGGTGTGTGCTGTGATTGTAAAATGTGTATCTGTAGTGTAGCTAATAACACACCTCAGGCTTTTATCAGAAACACATCTGGCTGAATCAGATGCTGAAGCAGTTTTGATGTTTAGCATACAGCCACAATTTAACTGGGACATTACTGGACTTTAAAACTGCTTTTACGGGAAAGAAATTAAGATACAAGTTGGGGTCTTCAAAATTTCTTCTAAATGAACACTTTAAGAGATTTATTTTAAAGTATTTTAGGCAAAATTTATCAACAGAGTAGAACTGGAACATCATTATAAATAGAAGAAAAGGTCATCCTCACCCTGTCATTCCAAACTGCCTGTGGAACCAAACTGACCATTTTTAACTAAATATATAGGCTTTTATCATTTTATCTATATGCCTTTTAGTGAGCATCAAAATAAGCAATTCAATTTTAACATGCATTCTTCAACAAGATGACTAAGACGTGACAAAGCATCCCAAAATATGATTTACGTATATGCACTACATATTTTCTACACAGGTACTTCAAATGGTTAAAAGTAGATAGCTGCACACCTGGCTTTGATTACAATACAATGACCTTATTGATGACTGACAAAAATACATCTTTCCTGTGCATTATCACTAAAACATGTAATTTACAAAATTACAATTTACAAATAATTTTAACAGAAATAAATTATTCTTAAATAGTATGCCATTCTGTGACATTTGGTGTATTATAATGATACTAAATATGCATTGTGCATTTCTAATCCACTGAAATTAATTTGATGGCAGACAGGCATTGAAGTTTAAAACAGGCAAAAGGCAATTTACATTCTGTGTTTTTTGGGGACTTTTTGCCACGAGAAACCCCAGACATTTTGTTTTTAGTACAGTCTGTGATACTTCTATTTAGGTTATTTCTCCTATCATCCCATTAGTGTGTAAGTGAAGAATGTTGATCCTTCACAGCAATGTAAAAGGTTTCAAATGTTTTTCTTTACATTCACAACAAATTAAAATTTACATTTACACATATACAATATTATTTACAAAAATTAAGCCATCAAGCAATTAGCCATCTAAATGACCTTCAGCCAAGTAAATAGAGTGAAACTATTACTGTATTAATACATAACACACTGATATGATATGGGTTTTATTCCATGTTGTGCTACAGACAGTCTAGAGATGGACAGTGGCTGGAATGTGCCACTCTTACAGGTAGAAGCAAGTGATCCGAGTTTTGTGTGAAGGACTCAAGGATTTAACATTGCCAAAATTACTTCAGCACCCCCCCACGCCAGTGTCCTCATCTCACCTGTCGGGGTACATGCCCCAGTGCACCAGCACCTGCTTGTCCTTGCGCATAACAGGACGCAGCCACTCCTCTGGAACAGAAACACAGGAACAGGGTGACTCCGACACACTACTAGATCAAATCTCCCCCTACACACAAACAGAGACAGACAGACCCTCTCGGCCCTCTGCATCTCATCCCACACCAGTGTCTAATGACTCTGCTCTTAGGAGAAGAAATGGGGCAACACTCCCTATATATGCTGGACAAGCAGAGGTGACAACGTCCGGGAGCATTCGGACTTCAAAAAGACTTTAAAACCAGATGAAAGTACTGTTCAATAGAATGTACATTTTAAGGCGATTGTATCAAAGAGAAATAAAAGATAAAACTCTGAGACTTAACCCTCGTGTCACTGCGAAGGCAGGGCAGAGAATAATTGAAACTCCCCAACACCATCATCAGAGACCTACCTTCATCTAGCGAGGGGGGTGTAGGGTAGATGTGGTGTGTGGCCTTGGTCTTGTCCTCTGTGATGGAGCCCTGCAATAGAGGTAAAGAGACTGAATACAGATATCCAAGAGCCTCACAAAATCACTAACTTGTAAATGAGACATGTCTCTCTACTCCTAGCACAAAGACCATCGAACACTTTAGCCTGAGAGGAAAAATACTTGATACAGACAATTTTTAAGACATGAAAGTTAGAAGTATATCAAGTGTCTTTGCTTAAAACAATCTTATGTGGAGTTGAAGGAAAATGACAACAACCAGCTCCTATTAGCCTCCAATTAAGACGTTCATGTGACTGTCTGACAGCCAACAGGCAGTTTACACTCAACTCAATGGCTGGATTTAAGGTGGTCAAAATACTGTAGTGCTCATACACAGCATCCATTTAGCATTCATACACACCATCACACTGTTCTGTTTTTAGCAGGGATGAATTAAAATCTGGCAAAGGGGGAACACTGAACAGTATTAGGCACCGTGCAATTTCAGCAAGATATCCTGAATCATTATTCTAAGCAATCAAATCCACCATCTGATTGATCTTTCGCCAAATAAATCAAAGAGCAAAAAAGAAAATGTACTGCATTGATATATGGTGCACTGATTATTTTCAAATTAAACTGTTACAGTCTAGGGTTGGACAGCTGCCGGAAAGGCTGCAGGCAGATGCAAAATTATCACTTTGGATCATTTTAGCACCTGCCTGGGAAAGTTCATCGCGTGCCCACAGCCACTGGGGCAGCTGCCAAATGAATTAAAAATTAATTTAAAAGCAATAACAGCTTAATGAAGATTTTGCTCCATATTGTTAACATCAAAAATCTGGAAATAAAGCAAAAATGAAAAACAAAATCATGATTTGTCCAAAATGAAATTGCTCCAGACTTTCTTCATTGAACATGCATTTCAAATTATTATAAAGTCAACGAAAGACAAAAAGGTTAGCATTAGTTATACTGAGTAGTTATACTTTTGTATTTGACATCTTAACATATAAGTCCATATAAAAGCAAAATGTTTTCAAAATGTCCTATTCAATGAATTACGACAATTTACTTTATAAACATTTCATAAAATATCTCACTTGTATCTAGTGAAAGGAAACCACCTTTAACTTCAGTTTTCCAGCAGTACAACTCAAGGAAAGGAATTGTGAACATAATCATTAAATTTAATTAGCTTTTATATTTAACAAATTGATTCAATGGTGTAAACGTCACAAATTGAGCAGAAAGAGGGGAAAATATCATTGATTCCTTTTCATTCTAGTAATATCAATGTTTCTAGATCAAACCGGAAGGTTTTAAAAAAACTCTTCATCAACTGCTATTGATGAGAACATTTAACACATTAAAGTGACATCCCTGTACTACGCACCGCTAAGAGACAAATTTTGTTTAAAAAAATGGAACAAACGATTAAACTAAACGAAGATGTCTAGAATTATAAAGGAAGTGTGGCAGATGTATGTTTCCCAACAGAACATTTTCCAGTGATATATGACATTCTCTTCTAGCAAGAAAAATTCAGCTGTGCAGAGGCACAATTAGTTTGTGTATTTTATTATGTTTGTCATTTTATTTATGTTAGAAAATGTGTGAGGCAGGATCACTATGATTTGTGTTGCATACCTTTACATACTGTAATACACAGCTGATACATGCTCAGAATAATAATGGAACAAGTAATAGGTTTATTCCATGCTGAAAAAAGAAGAAAGAAAACAACGTTTCAGCCATGGAGCCTTCTTCAGGTGTCGTACCTGAAGAAGGCTCCACGGCCGAAACGCATTTTCTTTCTTCTTTTTTCAGCATGGAATAAACCTTTTACTTGTTCCTTTGCAGCCTACCCATGATGACGCAGCTACCCATCAGAATAATAATGCCAGGTAACATCAAATTCACATAAATCAAAACCAGGCAATGTACTGGCACCACTAGAGGATAAAAGGGCTCATCTGAAGGTCTTTAAACATTGCTTTATAACAAATATTGCCAGTAATGACTTTTTTTAATCTGTTTTATTGTGAAGCGAGGTTCTATACAATCAAACTGTAACCATTAAGTCAGTTTTCTTTAGTTTTCTATAAAGAAAGGTAAAACAAAACAAATAAGCAATTATTCTAATGGACAATTGTCACTGGCAAAAAGACCAGACTGACATTATAAAACACGTCTTGATAGAAGACGCAGAATGAAATGTAAAGAAGGCAATTGGCAAAGTAGAGTACCTGGTGTCTCTTGATGATGTCCTTCAGCTTGTTGGCCTGTTTTGGCTCAATATCAGGAAGCACATATACAATGGGTCTGGTCAGACAGTTGTTCTGAAATCAAAGTATATCTGAAATTACAATGTTTTTCTCTGCAAATGAAGATCAACACACATTCTAAATCCCCTTTTGAATTCTGTCTTTTTAAAGAAAAACTGGGTCTCACATGCTTTCTCCCAACTGAATTGAGTATGCTGCTCTGCACCTGTGTTCTGAAAAGTATTTAGAACATATTCCTTCATTTCCTGAGTCTTTTATTTACAAAAACAGAAGCCAGTACATATTAAAAGCTCTCTCAGAGTGGAGTGGGGTCTTTAGTAAAGTATCGGAAGAATAATTTCTTTCTAATCTTTATCAGTGATCGAAACTCCAGGAAAGGCCATAATCTTGTTGACCAAGTACATAATCACAAACAGTACAAAAATACAATTCAGATAATGGTGTAACTGTCATAATAAATTGTAGTGTAGTGAAATGTAAGGCAATACATTAAGACTGCAATACTAGACATTAAAAATTAATTTGGTGATACGGAACTAGAAAATAATTATGAGATGTTGCATGAAGAAAAATACCAGAGCTTGCACACCGCTTTCCTAATCTAGACAGTATTGAAGCAACAGAAAAGACCACCAAATTGCTTAGGTTCATAATTAACATTTTATAATTAAAATCAATCCATCAAATCACTACAAAAACAAAGTACTACCGTTGTGGTAGCAGGAAAGGACTTTTGTGATCCAAAGGACTGTAACCACACTAACTCCTTGTGTGGAGTAAATGTCATATTCAAACAGATATAGCGAGCTTTTCAACTTGGAATTGAGAAAATAATGTTAAAATCTGAATTAAAAAAAAAACGTAAAAAAAGAGACATTTAAGACTGACAGGATCCTGAACTCATACTTTGAAACATTCAGGACATAAATCTGAACCAACTCCTCAGCCATGTAACTGTAATAAGATAACTCATTAGGCCTCCTCTCATTTGCAGTTGTTTTCATGTCCTTAAGTAGAATTAGATTTGTATCCACGCAGCTCATTTTAATGTCTGTCATTCTCAACCTGAGAAGTGCTATGAATGGTATACTAATTTCAGAGCCCCGTTCAGAGTTGAAATATTCCTTTTTATTTTCCAAAACAAGAAAGATGCCCTGTGAAAAGCTTTAGCCAATCTAGCATATCAGAGGGGGTGTTCTGGGGTGCCGATGTGTCAGCCGGCCTTGTGGAGGGACATACCTGCACTAGAGTTTTCTCTACAGTCATGAACATCTCCACATTCCGGTCCATCCGTGAGGGGTTCTGTAGGTCAAAACGGCGCCTGAAGGGACAGAAGGAAAACTGACCACCGACTTGTACAACTATTACGACCACTTGCTCTCAAACTAAAATAGTAAGGGACTTAAGGTTCAAGAATTCAGACCACCCTCCAACACACACTCACAGTAGGTTCTAGGTTCTATGTTATACCAAAAAACAAAGGTGACTTCCTCTTTAACCCAGATCTAGTTCCAAAATAACTTCCATACAAACTGATTCCCACAAAAAAAAATCCCTCCCCAACAACTTCTCACTCTTACAGCTGTCCATCTCCTCTAATTCCTCTACATCTTTCTCGATAGATAAGATACTTTATTGATCCCATGAGGGAAATTGCAGTGCAACAGCAGCTTAACACAGACAACACAGCCACAGTGTAACGAATGATACAACAATAATAATAATACAGTACATATAATACAATCAGTACAGTGAGGGGTGCACTAAAAGAGTTACTCACAGTCCAGGACACACAAAGAACAAACTAGAACAGAACAGTATGCAGAAAAATCGTATCACACATATGAATATATAGATATAAATATAAATGTATTCCACGGGTCCCTGGCATATATTGCACAAAAAACTGTTGTAAACGGGGAAAAAAAAACCTTGACTCTCCACTTGACTCTTAATCCTCCTATAACCCCAGGGTCCAGAAATCCACAACACACTAGCTCTCTCCCATTATCTACCTTCGTCTTCCAGTATCACTTACCAGCCCTGCTCACTCTTGAATTTGTAAGCTGAACCCAGGATGTGACACAGAGCACCCCCTGGCTTGAAGTCCAGGAAACATTTTGCCTAAGAAAGAAAAGAAAATGTTAACACATCACTGACATTAAAAAGAGTACAAAACAGTAAGCATCTTGTCCCGAATGAATAAGATCACTTTATTAGCCATATGCAATTTCTTGCATTAGGAATTTGTCTTTTCGCAGACCCCAGCTTGCTCTCCATGAGACATACAGACGAGGAGAGAAGCTTGGGGTCAGAGCGCAGGGTCAGCCATTGTACAGCGCCCCTGGAGCAGTTGGGGTTAAGGGCCTTGCTCAGGGGCCCAACGGAGTAGGATTCCTCTGCCGGCCGCGGGATTTGAACCGGCAACCTTCCAACCACAGGTGCAGATCCTTAGCCACAGATCCACCGCTCCGCCCCTATGCTGAATGCGGGCCTGATATATATTTGTATATATTTTAGTCTAACAACCAGCCTGGTCAGCTGTCTTAATGTGCTCTGGCCTCATAAGACTGCTTTGGTGTGTAGGGAGTAAGATTAAGCAACATACAGGCAGTCTGGGTAGCAGCAAACTGAAACAGGTAAAGAGTCTCACTGACGTGCACTTTAGTGACTTTCACACAGCTTGATAAGAGTGAGAAGGAAAGAGAATGGGGCCGTAGAAGCAGTTTGGATACAATGGTACAGATATGGACTAGTAGTCAGGTAAAACAGAATAGACAACTGAAAAACAAGAAAATTTAACTTGGGGTATAAAAAATGAAAGAATAAAAATCTCCTGTGGGGATTTTGGCGAGAGAGGCACACAGACAACTTGTGTGATGACCTAGTGACACTAACATACAGTAAGCTGACAGAAAGGGGAACAGAGAGAGATATGGACTCACAGGCAGTTTGGTGAGAGCAGGGTTGTTGACTCTCCTTCCAAAGGCATCCTCCTGGAACTGCAACAGCTGTACCACCAGACCAGCCAGGGACTTGTTAGATGGAGAGTCAGCCTGGACATACTGTAGAACACATCATTTGAGACATGACACAGAGCAGGAACAACTACACAACACACTGTAGTGCACTTGCAGGGCATTCTGGCACTGACAATACTTCCCAGTGCTGTAACACATCACTGGATTCACACCGACATTACAAGAGTGTAATCAAACTACCAGTCTTTACCCTCGCACAATAGCATCAACTAACCAAAACAAACATTGAAGCCCTGTGGCATACAAACTACAGCAAACTGCCATTAAAGGGTTTGTGAAACTGATCATTACAAAACATACAGTATCCAATTCCATTCTCCCATTTCAAACATAACTATGAGCTTCTTTGACATTTTCGCAGAACACACCCAAGTCTAAATTTACCACCTAGGAACAGAAAAATATTACCAAAGCACTACAAATCCCAACCATTCATTACTTCTGCTATATAATGAATATAAATATGATTATTCCTGCCAATTAAAAAAAAATCAGTAACTTTAAACATGTGGAAATGAACCGTGGTGCTCAAGTAGAAATTCAAAATTTAGAACAGGAAGCAGTTCTCTACACGTGGGTTGTGGATATCTGGAATAAGTTGCCCAGCTCTGTTATGGAAGCCAGCATTGTGTCTTTTAAGAAACAGATGTATGAGTTTTTTCATATCACTTAAGTACCAGCAAGCAAACGGGCCAGATAAGGAAAATGACCTCCTTTCGTATGGAACGTCTCTCATGTGCTTAATCTCACAAAAGACACACATAATGTGATAAATATCCACTTTAGATGGAAGACACTTTAGTGTTAGATTAAGACTTTATCATTATAAACATGGATTGCACGGTGCTGCAGTGGTTAGCATTGCTTCAATTCTAAAGAGGAGTGGAGGAGCAGTAGTAGAGGGATGTACTGACATACGAACACGTGCATTGGAATTCTTATACGCGTTGATTTCTCGGGACATACACAGCACTACAGACAACACCACAAAATGTACACAGTACATTACAAACATAATAACAGGAACAATAAATATGTTGTGGGACAATAACTATGTAGTAGTGAGAGAAAACAAAACATGGTAGACTATGCAAAAAGTGCATAGTGCAGATGTGTATTGAGTCTGAGGCATTGCAGTTAGCTGTTGAGGATGCGTAGTGCAGCAGGATAGAAGCTGTTCTTAAATCTAGAGGTCTGTGTTTTAATAGTGCAGTACCACTTCCCAGAGAACAGTCTGTGGCCAGTATGGTTGGGATCCTGAATGATGGATTGGACTTTAGTGCAACAGCGGATGGTGTGAATCTCACTGATCAATGGTAAATCACATCCTATAATCCATCCTTAATCCTAGAAATTGCTATCTGTGTGGAGTTTGTATGTTCTCCCCCGTTCGCACAGCTTTCTTCCAGGTGCTCCGGCTTCCTCCCACAGTCCAAAAACATACTGGCGGGTTAGCTGGCCCTAGGTGCGAGTGTGTGTATCTGTGTTTGTGCCTGCTTGCCCTGCAATGGAGTGGCACCCCATCCGGGGTGTATCCTGTCTCTTGCTTGCTGCTTGCCAAGACAGGCTCTGGCTCCCCTGCTATCCTGAACGGGACGAAGGAGTTAGAAACTGGATGGATGATTAAACATCCCTGGCAAGGCCAGACTGAGCCACAGGAACTCCAGCAGCACTCAGACAAACCCTTATTCTCTCATTGTTCTTACAAAATATGACTGACCACACACTGTGACCTTTTGCATTTGAGGATATTTGCAGTGCGGCCACTGGGCGAGACGCAGACGTATCTATTCTGGAGTACCTACAGAGTCATCCACGAGTTCCTCTGGATGAAACAGTTCAACTTATTAATGAAAACGGTAATCGGACATGTCTATAAAGGTTCAGTCTGGATTGTTGCGAGAAGAAACACAGCCACCAGAAACAATACCCGAAAGCCATGTGAACTAAGATAAAGGTTAGCGCAATCTAACAACCAAGCAATACAAAACTCTTCAAATCATTTAATATCAGCTGATCCACTATCCACCTTTCAGTTCTTTTAGCATAGGAAACGTTACTGACACAGCCACAAGCAAACATCTGTCAAACTACAGCGCCCGGAAGCTCTTTCAGACACGCACTGCTTTAGCATAGATAGGAGAAATAAACTCCCACTTCTCTGCAGTTTAATCCGATTCGGGTTTTACGGGTTGCACTCTTATGCATCCAGTCAAAACCTGGATGTTTCAAGTTGGTAACCTTCCCACGTAAATCTGCAGGGGGGACGTACGTATCTCCTCCAACTCCAAATCGATCAAAATGCATCAAGAGCAGCTTTTGGAGTCGAATTGCAACTACCGCTCAGCAACACGAGATCTGGGCTCATCTCCGCCCCCTTGCTTCGTAGCTCCGTTAAAAATACCAGTCGGCCATCTGTACAAATTGTGATACCACACATACAACCTACAAAATCACACGTCCCCCCCCCCACACACACACACTCGCATTTCGATTACGATATCGTGTATCCAGCAATGCCGGCCAAGGCGGTGGGGCTCTCGAAACAAAGCGTTTTCTCTGCTTGAGGAGGCAGGAGACGCAGCTGCCGTGCAGACAATCCACACGGGACTCTTTGTTCGAGCCTGCGGGCTGTGTCTGGACAGCGGCAGCATCCCGGAGTCACACAACTGCGAGGAGCAGCACCACCTGCGGCCGCCTCCACCTCGCCCGCGGCCGGCACGCCGACACCACCGAACCCGGGGCCCTTTTCTTTTTTCTCCGTGGGCTGACTTTGGAAACGAAGTCAGCTGTCACATGCGTGTGGCCTAGGGTTTTGTTTTCCGTAACTGCTGGCCCTCGACCAAAGCTGTACATCAACATTAACCTAAACACACCTTTAGTTTCACAGCGCTTTCCACGGAAATGTGTTTTGCCGTGTCTTTTTGGGTGAGACCGTAATATCTCCCCTAGAGGCTTTAACATTGCCAGGCAAATCCACTTCCTTTGCCTGCTGACCAGCGACCAACTTCAGAAAAACACAAAATTCACACCAATACTTCGATCCATTAACGCGCCACCCTTAATCACGGTTATCTGCCCACCTTTCGTACAAATATCCACTCCATTATAGAAAGAATTACTTAAAAAACTTGAATTCACCGTCACCCACACAACATCCCTCACCATCAAAACAACTGACCAACAGCCTCGATGCTTGCGTTTAGCGGCTTGCTGGATAGAACGCAAATCGGTTTAAAAAATGAACCGATTTCCCTTGCAATGGGGCCATCTTAAGTAAACCAAACGAATCAAGAGCATTATAACTCCCTCCGCGATTTCACTGCCCGTACAAAAGGCGCCTCTCTGTCGAGCAAGGCGCACGGATGTAGCCGCCGAATCAATGGAGGTGGAAGAGCTTTACCTTCTTGTAGTGCTTTCCGATCCATAGCCGGACCGACTCCAGCTGAGAGACCGTCTCCGAGCTCTCCCAGTACTTAGCAGACGGGCCCCCATCTTTCTTTCTGCCCACCGAGAGAGTCGAAGCACCGCTGCCCCCTTGCCCGGCCGCCGGGCCCCCGGAGCCCGCTCCCCCAGCTGCAATTGCTGCTGTCGCCATTGTTTTGTGCTACTCGCCTCGCTTCCTCCCCAGCCAACCGCCTAGCTCCCAATTCAAGGCCTAGAACCGAACTGCGCAGCCGCCAACCTGCTTCGCAGGGGCTTCCTTGGGAAGGTACTCCCTCGCGGGAGGAGTGAAGGCTAATGGGAAATGTAGTTCACACTCATTTTAGGGACATGTCTGTAATACAATGCTCTAAAATATCTCTAAAAATTGAGGTATTTTAGAGATATTTCACACTTGAAGAAGGCTCCACGGCCGAAACGTTGTGTTCCCTTTCTTATTTTTTCCAGCATGGAATAAACCTATTACTTGTTCCTAAAATATCTCAATATAGCAATCTGGGTTAAATAGCATTCTCCGTCATCTCGCAATTCAGCCTGTATAACAGGATATTTGTTGAGTAGTTTAAGTAGGTAGCTGCGACAGCATGCGTAGGCTGCAAAGAAACAAGTTAAAAGTTTATTCCATGCTGAAAAGAGGAAAGGAAACAACGTTTCGGCTGTGGAGCCCTCTTTGGGCGTGTCGGGGTATTAGTTGAGTATATTGCACTGAGTATTACGGTTGACAGCCATGCAAATGTAAGAAAAAGAAGATATGATATATCAGGATGGAAACTATGAAAGATGTTAAAAAAACACCGCCCTTTGTAGCTATTCCAAAGCAAACCCAAACAAACATATCTTCACAACATTAATTACCTGATAATATTTTGTAATAAGCCTACAAAAATGGATAGTAGGCTACTAAAATATAAAGTTCTTTATGAGCTCTTCTGTACCTCTTGTTTAGAATCTTGAAGAAATCTTGAAGGTTTACAACAATACTTGCAAAATCAATTACGATAAACTCAGAAGTGCTTTTATTGTATCGTACTATTGTAACAAGGCAATATTCATCTTGCAGCTTTAAAGGTAACGGCATATTCCCCGATTGCAGAGTAGTGACAGGCGCCTGCGCGCTGGTCGTCAGTGAGCTGACAGACCTCATACCATGTACAGCACAAAACGCAGAGAGGCAGTGGGAGTGACGGGTAGGACAGCTCCAGTCTCTGCGGGACACGGAGGCAGGGCGGCGGGAGCCTTGACTGTCCTACCAGTCCTGGCCATGCCAACGACCAGATACGGCGATGTATTTTTATTTTACCTGGCCTAAAATGAGCGGCAGTGAAGCGTGTGGGGGAGGCGGGGCAGAGGGGACCCTGCCCAGCGGCGAGTGGGGAAGCGGGGGAGGAGGCAGCGGTGAGCTCGCCGACAGCGACGGAGCTTGTGTGCTTGCTCCTACCGCCGCTGCCGCAACTCCAGCTCCGTGCTGCGAGGGAGAGGCCGGCAGCGCCCGGGCCCAAATGTATAGCGATTGGAATCATGAAGATAAAATCCGCAATAATGTGGACGCCAGCAGTAAAAATAAGGTCGTGCTTCTGGACAATGCCAGTGACAGCAGCGGGGGAAAGCGCGACCGGAGTGCTGAGACTGGAGAATGCGGAGAGGAATGCCTCAGTCTTGCCAATGGAAACGGAGATCTGCTGAAGGGTGCGAGCAGCATTAATATTGATTACAAAACCAGTGGCTCCGAGCCTGGGGAAAATGGGGGCGGACGGAGCCTTGTTATGGCTGTTGCATCGGGGAGGACAGAATGCGCGGAGGGCAGGGGGCTGCAAGCTGCCGCCTGCAAAAGGAGATACAGCAACGGATCCAAGACGGAGAACCGGGTAAGCAAAGTCTCAGGCACCCGGAATCGTGCAATAAATTTGGCCGCTGCAGTCACGAAGCGTCCTGGAAGTAGCCTGAGCAGAGCGCCGAAGAGGGTCTGTTTCACGGGGGAGATACCATCAGCACACTGCGGCATCATCTCGGGCTCTGGAGCCGGCTGCTCGGAGTTGGAAGATCCCTCGTTCTGCTCTCCGCCCATAGAGTTCAAGACCAGCCTGGCCGGTTCGAGGCATTTTAAAAGCCACTCGGAGATCCCCAAGCCCGCCAGCTGGGCTCGCTCTGCCACGGTACACATCTCCAAGCGTGGGAGCAGGTGTGGTGTTTCGAGTGGTTTTGAAAGCCCCGTTACATCGAACAGGATTGGCGTATTCCCATACTCTAGTGCGGCAAAAGACAGCTGTGTTAATTATATTGATAGCAGCAATGGACAGGAGCCCAGAAGTGCCAAAGGCAGGGTGAGACTGTACAGGGTGCGCTCCTTCCTGACGGCCACAGCCGGGTGTAACAGCGCGGGCAAGGGCAGCAGTAATGCGAATGGTTGCCGGGGCCCACAGAACGGGAGCAGTTTCTGCCCAGCGCTCCGGCCCGCCTGTGCTTCTGCTCCAGGGATAAGCAGCGTTTTATACCCTGGGCCCCAGGAGAGCCAGCCTGGGCGGCAGTCCTGCCGGTCAGCGAGCAGCTGCCTTGCCCAGCCCTGCCGGCCGGTTAGTGGGGGGGCGGACGGCATCTCTGGACATGGAAGAAATGATGGCAAGGAGATGTGGGCAGCCAAGGGGGGCCCTGTGCTGCAGAACGGTGTGGGTTTGGGTTTCACCTCAAACGGCGTGAGCAGGGTGACTTGGGTGCCAGTGGCGGCACTAGCTCGGGCCCTCCGGGGGGGAAGACGGCCCCCGGAGGCCCCCAGCCTCAGGGCAGTGGAGGCGGGGGCCGAGGAGGCCGGGCGGAGGCAGGGGCGGTTGGAGGAGCGGACGGAGAGGCTGTGGAGGCGGCTGCAGGCGGTGCAGGGGAAGCAGCTGGAGAGGCACGTGGCCCAGCAGCTGCGCGGCCTGGCGGGGACCGTGGCGCGAGGCAGGAGGGGGGGAGGAGGGGCGCCTCTCAAGCACGGCGCCCTCGCGCCCGGCACCGGCGAGGTGGCCCGGTTTGCGCAGAGCTGCACGGCAGCCCTCAGGACGGTGGAGAGCGCCCTGGACTCGGACGCCACGGCGAGCAGCAGCTCTGGAGGGGAGAGCGAGAGTGAGGAGATCGGGGAGAGAGGAGGCAGCGTCGGCCCAGCTCCGCACACACCCCACACACTGTGAGTAACTCCCCTGCGCCCCAGACAACCCCTGAACCCTGTAACTGCACACTGAGCCCTGCTCCATCCCTTACACTGCAGGTCACTATCATAAGCTCTTGCATGCTGCAGTTACCAACATGCACACATTGTCTTTTCAATAAGCACATGGAGAGGCAGGCCTCAAGATTGAGTTCAGAATAATAATAATAATTGCTTACGCTTATATAGTGCTTTTCTGGACACTCCACTCAAAGCACTCTACAGGTAATGGGGACTACCCTCCACCACCACCAATGCAGCATCCACCTGGAAGGCCATTCCTAACTTCCAGCACTTTTTGCCATCACTGAGAGGAACTGTTCCTCAAAACATCTCAAGGGTGACACAGTAGGGCAGTGGTGAGTTTTGCTGCCTCACAGTGCTGGGGCCTTGGGTTCAATTGCAGACCTGGGGTGCTATTGGCATGTAGTTTGTATGTTCTCCCCTCGTTGCCATGAGTTTTGGCTGGGTGCTCTGTTTTCCTCCCACGGTCCAAAGACCGACTGGTAGGTTCCATTCAGAGTGTACCCCTTGCCTGTTGCTTGTTAGGATACTGTAGACTCTGTCCCTGCAGCCCTGAATTGGCTGAAGTGGTTAGCAAATGGGTGGATGGATGGAAGGAAAATGTATTTCACTTGTTTCGGTGGAACCTGTTTTAACACATCTCCCTCTAGAGGTAATTTTCTTTTCGCTCTGAGCTGTGTCAAGAGTTGATGCGATGATCTGATAGCTCTTGCTCCAGGAGGTCAGTGTTCAGGCATTTATCCCCGGGTGAGCTGGGGTCTGTACCAGGAAAATAACCTGCTTTTAAAGGCTATGTAAATATCCAAGCAGATGAAATGCCTGAGGTTTTGCATAGCTTTTGAGGTAACTAAAGTGATCAAAACTTTAAGTCAGAGCTGTACGTGAAGCATGTTTTTTCCCCTCCCAGTCTTAGAACAGAATAGAAAGAAAAATGGTAATTTGTGATTAGGGTTTAGACATTGGTTGTGGTCTGATATGAAAGCTTCTGTGACTGGATAAACCCTCACCTGATGGACTGGTCTATAGCTTCCAGAGACCCTCTTCAAACTACTGCTGCCATGGCATGAACAGAAGGGTTGATGGTTTATTTTGATCATCTCGGTGTCTTTTTCTATATTTTTTCATCCATTCTTACAGACGTGAAAGGACATAATAAAGGTAGCATTCATGGATATGGCCATGTGACCTGCTTTTTTAAGATCAACTTAAATTCATTAGGGAATGGAGTCTGCACGCACTTCTAATTGTGTATTTTTATTCTTCTGGCTTCCTAATATACTGTTGGATAGCTCTCGTGTTTCTGGTATGTCTCACAGGGATGCAGACTGAAGGTCGAGCTCTCTGTGAAAAAGGCTGATGTACTAAACCTGAGGGAGGCAGATTCGTGAAGTATTTTCCCGTATTGCTTTGATCACAGAAAATGTTACAAATAAAAAGGAGAATTTGAACTGCTTGCATGCACTGCTCTAAAATAGCATCTTGAAAGATTTATGCTAAAGCCCTCTTGTTATAACGTCAGTGTGCTGGCTACTTACAGAAGGTGTAATCTCAATGTAACAGAAAATGTTTTTTTGAGAGACTGCAGAGTTATCTGATAAATCTTACTGATCAGAAATGATCAATTGTATCAATCAATGAATCATAACATATTTATAATTTAAATGCATATCGCCTCTCAGGTGTGACTTGAATTAATGAAGCTCTGTTTCAAAGCCAGATGTGGAAAATGACTGCAAAAGAGGAAATTCCCTAGGAGGAGGCTGTACCCAGGAGCGATTGCCATTACACCATCAGTTTATTTTGGTTTAATTGAGCCTTTCACCTTTCAGGGTGCTGTCAAGAGGAGCCGAGTGGCGGGAAAGTGATGTGAAAGTACGAATTGTGTATGGGGTGTTGCTGACCAAATCCGTAAGAAGGAAGAAGGTTTATCGTGTTCACTGCACTCCTTGGATTCTTCCTTCGAGTGTGTCCACTGCTGTTCGTATCGGGAGATTGACAGTAGCAGGGGACTGCTTTTTAACTATTGATCCTCTTGGGCAGGGCTTCTCAATTCTGTTTCTAGGGACCCCTTTTGAGTTCTGTTTTAGGCCATGAGGTACTTTGTGTGGCTGAAACTGTTATAAAAGTAGAGGGATGGTGTTATTTCAAAGCGCTCACCCATAACTGTCAACACAGATAGCTTAATGGCTCAGCAATTAATGATTTACAGACAGAGGTCTGAATTACTCTTAGTAAAACACTCCCTGGAAAAGCAGGCTTACCTCTGTATGAACTCAGTTGATTAAATTCATCATATGAATTTACTTTTAGAGACATAAATGCAGAGAATTTCGATACCCACCACCTGGTACATAAGTTGTGACCTATTCAGTTGTCCTGGATCCATTATTTCATTTGGAAAACTATGCAATGAGAGGGAATTCACCTGTCCCTAAAGTGGAAAGCCAACTTTTATAGACTGATATTGCGTTTTTCATTTCCAAGCATTGGGGACACCAGCTTTTTTCATTGTTTGTTTGCTCAAGAAAGTCTGTAGTTGTTGGAGAACTAACAACCTTTGAGTGGGGGAAAAAAAACGGTAGCTTTGGATCCAAGAGTTGTGATTAGGCACTTTTAGTCATTATTACACTTTAGGTTTCATTATACTTAGTTTGTTCACATGTTAATGCCTTTAAACTGAGGCATATTACTAGTTTCTTCTTCTGTGAACATCTGTCTAAAATATCCATTAATTACACACACCATTACTTTTCTTTCTCTGTAATTATACTATTATCATCTCTGAGGCACTGTTGCTGTGTAGTATGGGCAAAATCCCTTTGTTTTAGCTTTAGCTGTTATTTCAGTATTTTTAAATTTCCCAGTTCTTCTGGCACCTGTCATTGCGGGTCAGTGAACTATTCAATACATCCCTTTGTGGACGGGACAACAACTCCAGTGTGCTGTGTCTTTGTGTTTCCAGAATGCTGGGGGAGGGGTTTCAGTCGGCACCCTATACCGCAGCCTTGGTCAGAGCTGTGAGGATATTGATCTGTAGATCAATCTACAGATAGGATGAAACAGTGAGAGTGAGCGAGATTGTGGAAATGATCAATCAGGACTCATGAGTCACCATGAACATATTGATTGTCATTGGAAAAGATAATGCCACACAGGGTAATTCCATCTTGAAGTGGCCCTGAAGGAATATAAGTATGGGAATCAATTTATATAAATATACTGTACATATACAGAGCCTTGCACAAGTATCCACCCCTGCGATTTCCACAGTTTGAGACATTCTGATCTTACAATCATAATACTTCTAAATAGAAATATTAGAATCTGCTACAAACTAATGAAGATAAAAATACAGATAGTATAGAATTAAGATTTTAATACACTTTTCAGTTGCATAAGTATTTAACCTCTTTGCTGTTACAATCGTAGCTCAGTTTAGGTCAGGTCACGTCATGTCATTTCCCAAACCGCGTAGTACCATACAGTGTTGCGGGAAGCCGGAGCCTACCCGGAAAGCAACGAGCGCAAGGCAGGGTACCCCCTGGATGGGACGCTGGTCCATCGCAGGGCAAGTGCAAGCCAATCGTACATGGGGACAGTTTGGAGGCCACGGTAAAGGCCGAGGGAGGGAATATGGCCCGGACACTGGGATAACTCCCTACTCTTATCCAGAGATGCCGCAGGATCTTTAATGACCACTGAGAGGACCTCGGTTTAATGTCTCATCCGAAAAACGGCGCCCACTACTGTATAGTGTCCCCGCCACTATACTGGGGCATTAGGACCCACATAGACCGCAGGGTGGGCTCCCTCGTAGGTCCCACTAATGCCACTTCCAACAGCAACCATAGCTTCCCAGGAGGTCTCCCAACCAGGTACAGGTAGCCTCATTGGGTCGCCAGTTGAGAGCTGCAGGGTGATATGATTGCTGGCTGCTCAGTTTAGGTGCCAAATAATATTTTGAAAGGTAGGAAAATTACCATAGTGGTTTGTGTGTATAAATGTATTCAAAGTGATTGCCTTAAGCTTCTTTCTCTAAATCCCCTCAGATACTGTATTACATTTCAAGTTACAACTTGCAAAGTGATACGACAAATCGACCGTGAAGACCAAGGAGCTTTTGAAACAAACCAGGGGTAAAGAGGTCAAGAGGGGCTGATCAGGAGGGGGTTACTTATTTCTTAGAGTATGGTGAAGTCCAGCATTAAGAAGTGAAATGTGCATCACACCACACAGGTACAACCTACATTTGGGTGCTCTTCCAAACTGAGCAGCTGGGCAAACAGGAATTAGTTAAGGATGTGAATTGAAGCCAGCAGTGACACTGAAAGATGTGTAAAGCTCTGCGTCTGAAAACAGGCCTGTAAGGACATAGAGTTCATAGATGGAGATGCACATGTGCGGTCCTGCAGCACATAAGCCCCCAGACACATGATACTGCAGATAAACTTGCACATAGCAATCTTACCGTGCATAAAAGGGCACAAATACAATTGCATGCACGGGCACCCTGTCAGAAAGACATGTATGTACATGTGTAGCTGGTTGTGGGTGTGATAGTGGAAACATAGCCCCCAGGTTACTATGGTTGTGGCCACGTGATACCTTCCCACGTTCATCTTGACCACGCCTGGTAGTCATGGAAACGCGGTCCTGTTTCTACAGATCCTTTCCAAGCACGGATCAGTGAGTCTCCCATTCTTTTCCTCAGCCTCGCATGGTGGTTGTTGTCAGATCAAGCTGCACGAGAAAGGTTGATCCCTGTTATTTAGCGCAATTCCTAATAACACTTTCGTACGTTAACTCCCATTTTCCACTAATCACTTTTAGTTGCAGTTCCTGTTCTGGTTGTAACAGGTTTTGTGGAGAAAGGTTTGAAATAGAGGTGCATGACAGCTGCAAGTGACGTGCACTGTTGACCGGTTTTACAGGTTTAACCAGTTTTGCATATGAAGTTAGTTATATGTTTGCTGAACAAACTGTACAGTAGTGTAAAAGGAGATGGGGCTGAAGTTGTTGATTAAGTTTAAAAGGCATTGGAAATGGCATTACTGTTGAAGATCAGGTGTTACCCTCAACTTGCTCAGCGGTCAAGCAACAGATAAGACTGCCGTTGCCCCTGTCAATGAAGCACGCTACCATTTAGAGAGGACATTACTTTTAGAGTGGTGGAGTATAGTATGGTGTAATGCACGGAGAACTACTACATCCTGTACTTTACAGAACACTAAAATGACCTGTTAACAAGCACCTGCTTCTCTACATCAAAAGAATTGTTGGAGAGTGCTCTCTGACACTTTCTCTGTCTCTCTTTCTGTCTTTCTCTTCTGCCCCCTTACCTTTTTGTCTTTCTTCCTTTCAGGCAGGAGAGCGCAAGGTGGCACTGGCTGGAGCAGAGGGCAGAGCTGGGCAGTAGGTGGGCATGGCTACAGGCTCGGGTATCGGACCTGGAATATCGCATCCGAACACAAACTGAGCTGTACACTCAACTGAGGCATAGCAAGGTATAATAACGCTGTTTGTGTAGGTTTCCTTTTTTCTGCTGTCAGCTCAGGTGTAGTCAGTGTGTTTTTGCCAGTGTCTGTGTGTTTAGATGCCTGTGATCCTGACAGAGACCACAATTCCTGGCCAGCTACTCTCTTCCCTATCCAAACAGGTAGCACACCGGAGCACTGTGTGCTCAAATCCATCTACACTAATACTAGCATTAGTGCTCAAGCACTTAGTATAGTCACATCAGGTATTACAAGGTGTTAAAAGTAAATGGGCCACCTAGACCCATTACTCAAGCGTCAACAAGAGAAGCCAAATCATCAGAAAATGTATTTATATGTATTGGTTCAGGTGGGTAGCTGCGTCAGCATGCATAGGCTACAAAGGAACGAGTAATAGGTTTATTCCATGCTGAAAAAAAGAAGAGAGAAAACACAACGTTTCAGCCATGGAGCCTTCTTCAGGTGTGAAGGAGCCTTCTTCACGGCCGAAACGTTGTGTTTTCTCTCTTCTTTTTTTCAGCATGGAATAAACCTATTACTCGTTTATTTGTATTGGTTTTGTCGGTGCCCTGATCTTCGTCCCACTGAACTAGTGCACTGTAGACTTGAAGATTACAAGCATTAGAAATATTCTCCAGGGGAGAATTATAAGCAATTAGAACAGTTGTTCTACTACTAATGTTTGGCAGAAAGCTTATATCATGTAGCTTTCATTGCTTACAATTGAGATATGGCTGTAGTTAATATTTAATTAATTGACTGCAAAACATTCCCTGTGCCACAGTTTGATTTTAAAAATCTTAAGCTTCATACACATTAGTGATTTACAATGTAGGAAGTGGGAAGCTGCAAGAGTCTTGTGAGCTGCAAAGGAACATGGTGTGGTCAATTGCATTGCATAAATAAATCCACGTCCACATCCACATCCAAAATAAAAGTTACATTAGAGGGAGGATACGTAGCTGAAACCTTATGGATTTTAATCAGATACTTCTTTTCAGCTTGTAATTATCCTCTACTTGTTCCTTTGCAGTAATATATGATTTGTTCTTGTCTTCATATTTCAGTAAGGTTGTCCAGTTGATGCTATAATTCTAAACACTGCGCCAAAACAGAATCATACAGGCACAAATAACCACAAAAATAGCTTGATGAATATACTAACACACCTACCTTAGCTAGATATCCATAATCAGTGTCCAAGTCTCCAGCAGCAGTGTCACCAGCTCTTTAAAAACGAGAGAAGGGGTGATTGCTGGGGACTCCATATCAAGAGACACAACAAACACAATTCGTCAAAACAAATCCAGAATCCTCTGCAGTATTGTGCTTCACACAAGCCAAAATTGCTCTCAATGTATTGAAACTAGACAAGCATTTTGCACAAGGAGGAGATTATTCAGTTGTCGTGATTCACTTTGGGACAAATGATGCTGGAAAATTCAGCATCTATTCTTTGCAGAGGAAGCATGTGGGCCAAGAACAGGATCAACAATCTGGTATTTTTCAGGGTACTCAAAATATAGTGCAGCGCTCTTTCCAAATCCAAAATCCAAAAAATGTTTTAGTTTGGTCATAGGATCTAGCATTTTTAAGAAATAATAAGTATTCTCGTTGATCTGCTGCTCAGTACAGTCAACTGTTCCGATGACAAAAAGCTGAAAATGTAACTACTAATTAAGCACTTTAACTGAAGTGTTTCATGAAGCATAAAATTATAGATTTTTAGAATAATCCACCATGAATTAAAAAATTCAAACTCTTTGTAATGTATGCTTTTTAAGCACCAGTCAAAAGGGACCTCAGGTGAAGTTAGAGATAGAAAATATTGTAATTGGGACTGAATGCTAGTGCAGAGTTATTTTCATTAATGTAATACAGATGAGTACAGGAAAGATTAAACTATGTAAGTGAAAACAACAGGTTAATTAATGAAGACAAAATCTCTAATGCATTGAAGTAATATTTGTCACTTGTTATATTTAGTTTTTACTTTGAATAGCATAAAATTAACCAATCAGTTATACCTAAGAGTATTTGTCCAGTATTGATTAACAACAATAAAGATATTGTCTTAAATCCACTTAAAGTAAGTCTATGAAAATAAACATTAAGATTTGACAATATTGCTATAAAGGTTATTATTGATCACGGATTTAGAAAGGGCAGGTAGTGTTTAATAAACACATTTAATTTTTCTGGAAAGGTTATAGTAACAGTGAAACAGGTAAAGCCTTCAATACAGTGTATTTAGATTTCTAGAATACAATTCCTAGGGCTCCTCATTAAAGGTTAATTCTCAGATTGAAAGCTGATGAATTCCAGGGAAAGCTACAATTAGAGATTTAACTGGGTCAGTGCAGTTGGTGTCTGGGATGTTCATTTTAGTATTTACAAAAATGATTCTAAGATAGACAACAAGCATACAGTACCTGATTTGGAAGAGACACAATAATGGGTGAAGTACCAAGAGTTACAAAAAGATATTCAGTACTTCCAAGACCAGGCAGACATGTGACAAGTGAAATTTAATATACATTGGTAATATACATAGTGCACCGTATTATACATAGGTAGTAGGAATATACATTTTAAATACATAATGGAGGTGCTGAGCTTGTAGACGCAGCTTTTGAAAAGGCTTTAGGCTGTAAGTGTTTTTGTGGACGCCTCTTTGCATCATCCATTCAATGTGGTGAAGCTATAATAATGGCTAACAGAAGGCCAATATACATTGTGAAGAGTAGTTAAAATGATAAATTATGCAGAGTTAAGCCTTCATTAGAATACTGTACCGTTTTGGTTGCCAGGTTTCAAGAAGGACACAGCTACACTGGAATCAGCCCAAAGAAGGTCAAAGGAATTGAATCTCTTTAGTCTTTAACAAAGCGGGCTAAGAGGGAACTTAATTAAAATCTTCCAAATCCTCAAAGACATCAACAAAGTCAAACCCCGGGGATCAACAGTTAAACATAAACCAGAGGACACACATGGAAACTAAGGGGAAGTAAGACTGAGAACAGGTGGTATTTGAATACGCAAGGCATTGTGGGAGTGTGAACAAGTTACAAGTCCTCTCTATTGAAAGGGATATAATGACTTCAGGAAACAGCAGGATAAGATTAAGCACTTACTAGTAACTAATTGAGCTACAGGGCCTGAGAGATTTCCTCTTGTGTGTCACCTTTATGGTTAAAAGTTCAGTGTGTGCATATTTTCTGGTTGTCTCTCTCAGGGCAGCGGAGTGCTCCAGTCCCAGGACAGTCTACTGCCCCGGCTGCCTTGCCCAGCAAATGGCGCCCTCCACAGGTCAGTTGCACTGCACTGCCTGGCCCACACAACGTTCCAGACCCTGCCCTGAGGTGTGGTAGGGTAGGCCGGCACTCAGGCGGGGTACCAGTGCTGCACCCTACAGGCCCCCGCTCTCACGATAAGGTGGGACAGACCTAAGAGAAAAAGACTACTCTATTTCCAGAGCAAGAGACTTCTCTGGCTAAAGATTTTACTGTCAGGCAAAATAATGCATTTTCCACATCTCAGTTAAAGTTAATATAGTACTTATAAGGCCGTGCTGTTCTCATTGCTTGAGAGGGCATTGTTGGCAAAGTAACATGGAAACAGTGTATTGAAGCATTCAAATCCTAAACCTCTGGTTATAACCCTTAAAATAAGCACAGTTATTTTGTATAGAAACTTACATGGGTGCATAAATTTAGTTTACACCAAATACCTCATTCACAAAGATTCAATACAAGTCTACAAAAATGCATTTTTAACCATATCAGATGTGTATAATAACTAAAAAGTAAATATAAATATTCACAAAAGAGAGTGTTATGTAGATGTGCTGTGGAAATCCTAAGTACTTAGTACAGGCAAGTGCATCTGCATAACATAATTAATGCTAATTTATTATATATTTGTGGATATAGATTTACTGAAATAAACTTAATGACTAGTGTGAGTAGTGGGCATCAGTGTGGAGTAATGTTTAGGTCTCTGGACTTATTTTAGAAAGGTTATATGTTCAAATCCTGGGCATTACACTGCTATTGTTTCCTTGAACAGAGGTCTCACGCTTTCTACAGTAAAGTTTTTAGCTGTACTGTATATAATTTGGTACACAAGTGATTTTACATAAAAGCAGGTTCCTAATAATAAATGTATCTGGGAGTAGCAACAAAGCCCCTTTTCAAGACAGTTTTGCATTCAAGAGGTAAAGGGTTATGAATAAGAACATTTCTTTGATAGAGGAATATTGTTTCCTGTAAATATTCCATACTTATCGGTATACTTTATTCATTATGTTGTAGTTACACGTTAAGTTTTCATTTGACCAATAAGAAAGGATAAAGTTCTTATAAGCTGGACAAAATATTGGGACTAATCAGCTCTGTTCTTTAGTGGATTATAATAGTAACGTAATAGTAGTCAGCTATTCCACTGTGATTATCCATTAGCCTGCTAAAGATATACAGTATATGCACCAAATGCAGTGATAAGCATATTGTGCACTCCTTTCATTTTACAATATACTGTATTTTAATGTAATAACTTGAGAAGGTCCATGTCCTTGTCTGTGGACATTGTTTTGTTCCAGTGAGTCTGACAAATTTAAGGTAAAGGTAACTTCTTTTACGACTTTTCCAAAATGGTGGCCAAGCTATTTTACCAATCCACATGTCCTGAACATAATCCACCAAATATAAAAGCTGTGCTTTAGATTGATTTAAAAGAAGATGATCTTTGAAACATTTTCAAAACCTTGCTTAGGGGAATCCTATTGTGTGACCAAACTGCCTGATTGATCATCTTCATCTCTCGTCTGTGGGACTAAAAGACGTCTCCTGGGTTTGGCACACTATACCACTATGATATAATGAAATACAGGCATGTGCAAATCAGACCTTCAGTAATACTGGCTCATGGCAGTCATATTTTTAAAGATAGCAATTTGCCAAGAACATTCTTGACAGACAACACGCCCTACTTTATGAATTCCACGTTTCACTCAAATCAACCTCGCAGTCCTGAAAGTCATTCAAGTTGTTTGTCATACTCAAAGATGGTGTCCAAACCATGGAAATGGGTTTACTGTAACTGTGTTACAGTAACAAAGACTGCCCAATCCCACTAATTGTTTTCATAAATTTGGATGAATAAACCCCACTATTGATACACAATAACTTATATTTATAAACATTTATACTACTGGGCCTTTTCATGTAAGCAATAAGAATGAGCCTTTCTCATGGGGAAGGTTCTTAGTGGTGTACCACTCAGAATTTGAATTCATAACCTTCAGCTACAAGTCCAGGACCCTAACCATTTTCCACACTGCTGCGTCTAAACCCAGAACACAACCTGTATATTTAGACCAAATAGATAAATAAATCTTGATTCAACTAGAGAAAAGTGTGTTTGCTCTCGGATCGGGGTACACAGTGGTGTGTTCTGTGCAGACAGCGGCGCCACGAGCACACAGAACCTGTGTGTGTCTGGGGGGTGGTTCCTGCTGGATCAGTGTGTGGTCTGCGTACGTGCTTGCTGGCTCTCGGCAGGGTGGCAGTGTTCCCCATGTGTTGCGCTCTGTGCCCCCAGCCCCCCAGACCCCCTCAGGGCACGATTGCAAGAGGAGGCGCTGGCAGCCTGCCCTTGCCCGCCGGACCGCAGCGTCACGGCGGCGCGCGCTCGCCCACTGCCCAGACACCGCCGCCCAAGACTGGTGCGCCTGGAGGGAGCGGCGCCGCTCGGCAGCAAGGTTTGGATTGTGCTTGATTTTCCCATTTGTGTGAGTGAATCAGGAGTGAGAAGGTGTGAAACTTGTGCTTGAATATGGCCAGAATCCTTGGAATGACCACATTTGAAAATAATTTGAAATCGGTGTGAGGTAAATGCAAATAACAAGTATGAATATTTTGAAAATATAATAGCACAAATTAAATATGAAGATGTATTTTTGTTCTCCTCCATGCAATGAGAGTGTAGTGTGAATGTACTGTATATTTTGAAACTTGTTTTACTGATATATCATAAATCCTTCCAATATTTTGGCATCTGTTTATAGAATTTGTCCTGTCTATAATTCCTACTTTCCCATTTCGCCTCCCTCTCTCATTTCTTCCCACTCCCTCTCTGTCCTTGCAGACGGTGCATTTTCGGTGCTGTTGTGAGCCGCCCTCAGGGTGCGTGTTGTGTGGCGGCCGTCCCCAGCTGGCTGAGTCGGATTGGGGATGGGGGTCAGTATGTGAGCGACAGGCCATGCTGGACCCTTGTCTGCACCCTGTTCTGTCCCTTCCCAGTGGTGAGTCCAACTGCAGCACTTGCTCCTGCACAGCTAAGCTGATGAGGGCCTCTGCTGCAGTGTGTGTGTGTATGTGTGTGTGTTGCGGTGCGCCCTCTAGTGGGCCTGTGAAACCATGCAAGGAGTTTGCTTGTTGCTTAAATCAAAACACTCATTTAGCTTTCTGTATAGACTAGAATTTCTGTACAGTGGCCTGTGATCAACCTCTACAGCTCATCATTAGTAAAGTAAATACTGACAGTGTTAATGAAGTGGAACAACTACACACAAAAATCACTATGTATTAACTACACACACAAATTAAATTTTAGGAATTAAAAATTCCACATTTAAATGAAAATGTATTTATAAACCAGTAATTTATTGAATGTACAGTATTTATTAAAAAAACAAGAATAAAAAAGCGTAGACGTTAAAACAAATAGGTAACTCATACATCTTGCAAATTACACACACAAAAATTATGAATAATAAAAGAAAGTAAAATTTCAGATGCAGGACTGTACAGGAATGTAAATGTCAAAACACATTCAAAGGCTCTGAACTGAAAACAAAGGTTCTTCTAACCAGCACCAAAACAAATATTTCCATACCAATTACAGGTTTCGCAAAAGTCATGCCATCACATAATCTAATAATATTCTTTTACTGCCCCCTTAAAAACGATCACTGTGCTCTCTCCATTTTAAGAACTTAAGAAAGAAATAAGAAAGGGTGGAAACAAGAGGAGGCAATTTGGCTTATTGTGGTTATTTGGAAGTTTAGTAAACTAACTCATCATTGAGTTTCTGGTAAGCAGCTGTTATCAGCCAAATCATTAATGAAATAGTTTTTAAGTACAGATTGGCCTTGATTCATATGAATACTGTAAGTGTAAATGCAAACAAAGAGATGGTAAAGTTTTAGTGGACAGCATAGTGTTTAATATGAAGTATGTTCATCAATATTTGTCCAAAAGTGCCTACGTTTACTCATGTGTAATGTACATACATATTGCTTCCATTCAATGAGCACTGAAAGATTATTTTCCTCCCAGATGTTCCTCTGGCTGTGCAGTGCGGACTGAGTTCCCTCAGCACCTTACATTCCCAGAATCCTCCGTGGCTGCTAGGGGAGCCACCCCCTCCTTCCTGGCTGGAAAACAGGGGCCCGGGGTCCCAGCGTCTCTCCAGAATGAAGAGGAAACTTGAGCTCCCCCAGATCCCCTGCCACACTTTGAGTCACCTGCTTCATACAGCATGTGGGTAGGACCATAATGTGCACAGACAGAGACACTGAAACACTGCATTACCCACGCTGATTCCAATGCTTATCACTGTCAGTGAATACTCGCACTGTACCACTGTACCACACGCAGGACTGTACCACTGTACCACATGCAGGACCTATGAGAGAAAGTACAGCACAAGAGTTGCAGACCACAGTCAGTCTTTCCAGAAATAAATTGCAGAATTTACCATACACTGAGTATTCAAAAGGCCAGAAGAAGTCATTGCAACACCAACAGTCAATTAGCTTTTGAATTCAACTTTAGCTCTCCCCTTACAAACATAACTGTCAAAGCCACTTCTCTGAGCATGTTGTATGTATCCATTTAATTGAAAGTGCTACTGCTCAAAAGCGTTTGCTGTTTGGCACCATCTTACAATGTTAGAAATTCTTGAAATGGATGCTAAATGTTGCTAAAAACAGTAGTTGAGAATATTGAGGTAAACGCATACCCATATCCAAGAGCACCTCTCCCAGCAAAATTGTAAGAGAGAAAAAATATACTCTAAAAATCATGAATATGGAAAGTGTATTTGTTTAGTTTTGAACATTCAGGATATATACTGAGAGGCATGGAAGTATAACAAATTAGTTTTGGAATCACTGGCATTTGTTCTATTTTAATGCCTCCGAATATGTAATAAAATGTATATCATTTCATCCTCTAATCCCATGCAATACACTTGGGAAGGGTTTGTTATGCACTGCTGCTTTACACCTATTATCAGAAAGTAGAAAACCACAGGTTATAAAATGGATGCACTTGGTTTCTTCCTCTCTACCCTATTGAAAAGCAGAATCCCCTGGAAAGCATTACCAACAAATTGTGGAAAAAAAGCGTAAATTTGATCTGAAAATTAATTTCAACAGGAATGGAGACAGACTCTTTAACTTGTGTGGCGCAATGCCTAGTGAATGTACAGGGGTGCTTGGTGAATAGGAGTGGGTGGTCATGTGAAAGGTGAATAAGAGAAAGCAGTAAAAAAGCATCATAGACATTTTGCATTTTAATTACACATTTTAAGTGTGTTTTGTTGTATGAATCAATAATCTAAGCCAAATCGTCTGTGAATATATGATTGCTAGCCTGTTAACTACCACTGAACACTCTGCACTCTTTCCTGATATGTGTGTAATGGTCCATACACAGAGGCATAAAGAAACTGCATCCATACAATGATGCACCCACATGAAGGTTCACCAGTATACACAAAGCAGCGCCCACCGACCCACTCTTAAGTGGCACTAGTAACATCTAAGTGTTGTTGCCAGTGTACATTTGTTGTTGTCAGGTGGTGTCCGTCGGAATGAGAAGCTGCAGAGAAGTGCTGCCAGTCCAAGTGTTCTCATCCCCAGAGCCCCCTCTGAGCCTCCCCTTCACACAGGGCCCCTGCCAGCAGTGGAGAGCCCCCTTTCCGTCCCCCCACAGGTGAGAGCTTGTGTCCGTGTAGAGAAGTACCACTTCCCTTCTCCCCTTCGAGTTTGCTCACCTTGCCTCGCTTCCTCATGTGTTTCTCTGTCAGAGAGCTTTTTTCAGGCTGGTGAATTACAGGTGAGCCTATGTCTCCCCCCAAGAGCCCTCTTTACTGTTTGTGATCCCAGTGCAGTTTGTGAACTCTGCATGTTGCCTTTCAGGCTGTTGCAGACAGGTAACAATCATCTTCTGTTTAGGGTAGTTTCATTATACTACTGTAGGCTGTGCAACTAAAGCTTTGAACTGAGGGGCCAATATGGAGATGTGTTTGGTGCGGTCTATTTATGTTTTGGGTAACGGCGATTTAAAACACGTTTCAGAGTCACAGCACCTTTGTCCTTTAATGATGTGTGAGTTTTTGGTTCAAACTGTTTCATTGGCCAGCTGTGGTTTCTGAGTTTGTGCTTGGTCAGGATCTCTCTTTTATAGACCTGACAAGCTTTCTCTCAGGTCACAGTTAGGGTCCATTGCAGTTTGTGGAGTTAATTTGGATCCTGTTTATATGCGTTTTCCAAGGATGAGTCGTTTCTTTAGCTGTTCCTGGGTATGAGAGATGTTCTTCATCTGAGAGACGTTCTTCAGTGTAAATTGTACAAAATACGTACCAGCTCCCTGAGAGGGATAAAGGAAAATAACCCAAGTCACTTCAGTTCAGTTGGTATTACTCCTGTGTCATTATATTTATAATAAATAATATAATGTATAAGGCAGCCTGGTAGCACAGTAGTTAGGATTGCTACCTCGCACCACTGGGGCCCTGGGTTCTGTTCCTGGGGTGCTGTCTGTGTTAATTTTCTATGTTCTCCCCATTTTCATGTGGATTTCCTTTGGGTGCCAAGGAAGTCCAGAAACATACTAGTAACTAAAATATATTGTGGGAAAATTGGCTCTAGTGTCAGTGAGTGTGCATTAGTTTCTGTGTCTGTCCTGCAATAGACTGCTGTCCCATCCAGGGGGTATCCTGACTTGTGCCCCTTGTTGGCCAAAATTGGCTCCCCCATGACTCAGTATTGGATAGTAACCAACCTGGTTAAGAGGCTCACCCCATTGTTGCATAGGAAAGCAAGCAGTAAAAACAAGAATAGGAGAAATCAATCAAATGTAAATAACATAACAGGTCATTTTAGTGTAAGCACGGGCAAGTGTCAGGAAGAAAAGGTTTGATCATGCAAATGAAAATGCTGTCAGATGTAAAAGTGGGTCGTTTCAGTTCACTCTGTTGATAGATGCAGTCATTTGCGGTAACAACTAAACATAATTTGCATCCAAAGGTGGTGTTTGGTTTTGGGACGTTTTGATAAAACCACCTGTATCCTAAATTGATCGGATGGTCCCGAGCAATACAATAATGTAAGATGTCTCATTTAAGATATTCACGTAAATCAGTGTATCATTCATCTAGTATGAAGAGAAAGCCAATCAAGAAGAATGTAAGGCTGGTTACAATCAAGAGGAGAGCCAGATTATCAGTTTCAACAAGATGGCTGGGTAGCTTATTCCAGACTCCCACATCCTTTTGTGTAAATACAAGCCTCTGGTTTGTATTTCACCGATTATAAAGCCATCTAGTAGGTTGAGGCTGCAAATGTCTTTGAGGATTTTGAATACTTGAATAAGAACCCTCTCTCAGTTTTCTGTTTATGGGTAAAAACTTCTTTTAGCCTGTCAGTGTAGGATATATCTTTAAGTCCAGGAATGTATTTGGTTGCTTTAATGCTACTGCCTACAATTTGAGAAATTTGAATATTGAACCATATGCTCTGTGTGTATCCATTACAGTTGGTGCTTGTTCCGGAAACTAACAAGTTAATAACCTTCTAACAGCATCTCTTGTTTCCTTAAGTACAACTGATGGTGTATCCTTAGGTCTTGGAGATCAAGTAATTTTAAGTGCTTCTAGTACATTTAGTACAGGGCAGAGTGGTCTGTGGCCAGAATGTTGCCCGTTCAAATCCCATGGCCGGCAGAGGAATCCTACTCCTTTGGGCCCCTGAGCAAGGCCCTTAACTCTAACTGCTCCAGGGGCGTTGTACAATGGCTGACCCTGCACTCTGACCCTAAGCTTCTCTCCCTGTCTGTGTGTCTGTGTCTCATGGAGAGCAAGCTGGGGTATGCGAAAAGATGAATTCCTAATGCAAGAAATTGTACATGCTAATAAAGTGATCTCTTATCTTATATAGCACTTGCTGACTGTTATTTGCTAATACTAATTTAACATTGAAATTTAATTCTGCTACAGAAAAATCAAAGAATGCAGATGACAGCAATGAGTGGGATAGGGAGCATTAGAGATTCATTTTTTTTTGCAGAATGGTATAAGGGTTTTTTCCCCACAGAGAAAAAAGAGGCCATGCTATAACCATCCCCACCATACTTTAAGAAAAGAAGCACAACGTTTTCTCAGTGATTCAGCTGTCTTTCTTGGTCTCCTTTTGTCGCGCAGCCCTCTCGACGCCGGCGGGGGGAGAGCTCCTTCGACATCAATAACATGGTGATGCCGCTGGGGCTGGGAGGCGGTGCTCGCGTGCAGAGACTCCAGTACAAGGAGATTCTCACCCCCAGGTCAGCACAGATGGCGTGTATTTCGCTGTTTGTGTGCGCACATCATGCAAACAATTAGGTGTGCTGAGTTGTATTGTACATCCTGCACTTGGTGTTTCATATATCCCCTCCTCTCTCTTCCTCACAGCTGGAGGCAGCTCAACTGTATCTTTGTTCCACCCGTTGGACAGGCGGCCCCAGGGCCTGGAGATGGCCTCGCATCTTTTGAACGGACCGCGGGAGAGGAGGAGGAGGAGGAGGAGGAGGTGAAGTGAATTTTTTAGCCTGCCTGCTGGAGTTGCTGTGTGTGTATCCGTTTACCTGCCTTGTCTGAGCCCCGTGTGTGGACGTTGCAGGTGGAGGACCTGTCTGACGCATCGTTCCTCTGCCGTCACTCTGCGTCTGAGGACAAGGAGAGGAGTCGCTGGGGCACCTGGGCCCGCCGAGCCAGCCAGCGCCGAGGCAGGTTAGTCTCAAGGAAGTCTGTGGGATGTTTAAAAATCTGTTCACATGAAGTCATGTAGAGCACCAGTATTGTGATTAACACTGAATGGTTTGACTACTAGTGTAGTCTCAGCTCGGTTTACAGCTGTTGTCAGGTCCTCTAATGTCCTCACCTGCAGTTTCTTTATGTGTCTCTCAGGTTTTCCTCGCGGGCAGAGAGCAAGGTGATTCCTCAGCCCACAGGTCCAGTCCTCCCCCCGCTGTCACCAGAGCGGAGCCCTGGCGGCCAGACTGAGCAGCCTGACACCTGTCCGCCGAGCCCCCCCGAGAGCGAGGACACCTCCTGCCCCCTGGCTGAGGATGAAGAGCTGGTAAGAATGGGGGACGGGGGTGCAAGACATTGTGCAGTAATTCTGTAGTGTAGTAAGGTGCAGTCATTTTAAAAGAGGAGGGAAAAGTAGCTCCCAACATTTGCAAGTCAATCCCGGTTTGTTACACGTGCCTATTTACACAGCAGGGTATTTTGCTGGACCAGTGTGGTGAACCTTGTACCTTCACAAGGGTACAACAGCTGTGTCTTACTGGAATTTGAAGCCACAGCTTTCTAGAGAACAGAACCCTAACAACAGCTCCACACTGCAGCTGTACTGGTTGGCAATGATATATACAAGATGGGTTATATTATTTCAGCGAAGAGCTGCTTGCCAATAAAATTGAATTACTCCCTGCTTGTCTAATTTCCCCTCGGCGTGCAAGAGGATAACCGATTCTGTGTTTGGTCTGCACTCCAGGCGGTGTTGCCGTGGGAACGCCGGTCGTTCCCTTTGTCAGAGGCAGAGCTAAGGTTGCTGAAGGAAGAGGAGGAGCGCGTCCCGCCGCCGGCTTTGTCCATAGGAACTGCAGAGGACCCGAGCACTACTCGCAGCCACAGCACTGACTCAGGGATCTCCGTGGGCAGCCTCGAGCTCTCTCCCGTCACCCCACAACCCCCTCAGCCCAGCCAGGATCTCAGTCCTAAACTCTCGCCTACTCCCCCCGCCGCGCTGAGCACTCAGGAATTTCTCTCACCCCCTACTATGCTGTCGGTCAACCACAAAACTGTCACACAGCCCCATTCCCCCTCCTTCACGCACAGACCCCCTCCAGCGGCCACTCCTGGGCCCCTGTTGACAACCAGCGCTCCCAGTCCTGTGGTCACGACGCGCTGTGGCCACAGCTGAGACTGGCTGCTGCAGGGAGGGACACAGGGGTGAGGCTGTTGTTTCAAACGCCAATCTGTTTGATATTCAAACATGCTCACCGCTATGGAAGGGAAAAGTGACCCCAGCACTCTCATATACCCCCCTCCTCATCCCCCAAACCTCCCTCTGTTCATTGCTCTCACTGCCATTCTCACTGTTGTGCACATTTTCATTATCTGTGTTATACAGGAGAAATTAAAATTCTCTTCTTTTTGGAAAAAGCAAACTAATGTGCAATGTTATGAATCCTGAAGACATATCCTAAAAGTGATCAAGGTGTGATATTCCAAAGTGTGGCATTGTAGTTCTTTTATTATCATTTTCTCAACTGCCTGTTGGAGAGGGGTCTTTTGTCTAAATGAAACAACTCCATGACTTTGCAGAGCTCCTCAGTGACTTGACCCACACAGCCTGTCCACATATTTCCACTTCTGTCCTCAATGCTGTGAGGATCAGAGAACAAGGATGTCCAATACCCGCTGTGTCAAAACCTCACCTGGAGTGACACTGCAGACCAGGTCTTAATGCGAGACACTTGGGTTGAGTGTCCCAATCCAGACGATAGGTTGTAGAATCTTGGATTCATATTAGAAAAAAATTAAATTTCAAGTTCGCTTAAAGCTTTAAACAGCTCTGTACACAGAAAAGGGTTTATAATGATCCAAATAAGATTTAGTTTAACTCTTTTATTGCTTAAACAATATGTGGCCCAAGGGCCATGATTGATTGTTGTGACTTAAAGAGAAACCTTGTGGGGATGCTGACTCCCAGGAGTTATCCTGGACTAGAAAATCCCCTTCCTTCCAATCATCGGTATATAATTAACAGGATTTGTGGAAAGGCAGACTGAGAAAAAGTGATATTAATCAATCACTGGATGATTTTATACAACATCTTTCCACGGTAAACAATATCTCATATTGTGCTTCATAAACTCAGGTTGCAAAAGGGCACAGTACTGTACGTCTACAGGGGCAAGTATTACTTTTTCTTAAAATAACATTCCACTCATTTTGGAAGAGTTCCCTATATCTATATTTGATACATTTTCAAACCAAGGACACCAGAATTCAATTTTAGGGTATTGTAATAAATACCTGAAATTACGGTTGAAACTGCTTTGAATTTGGATTCTTTAATGGTGCCTCCAACATAATCGAGCTGAGATCAGAGGAGAATATTTGAGTCACAACAGAGTGGACCGACTAGGCAGCTAAAAGTGAAGGAGGTGTTTTCAACAGGGTTTGTTTCAGTGGTTTTCAGTGTGAGTGAATGACGTGTGTGCAGTGCCACACCTCAGTCCCAGGGTCCCTGAAGGCAGGGTGGTACTGGGGTGGGCTGGGAACATTTGCTCTTCACTAAGTTTAATCTGTGATTAACCCCTCTCCCCAGTCTGTGCACCCCTGTATTCCTCTCTTCCCAGTTTGTTTTTTGTCTTCATTGACCTTAGTTCTGTATGATGGGCAAACTGGCAAATGCATACATTCACTCAAGATTTCAGCAGTTTGGCTCATTGAAAATTAAGGTCCATTATGTTCTAAATTCTGTGGCAGAGACAGGGTGGTGTAATTGTAATTTAGATGTATTTGTGTTCTGGAAGTGGGTACTGTCTTTGTTGGTAAGTGATAAATAAGAGGCAAATTAAATAGCAGTTGTTTCAGTACAGGTACTACTGGGATGTTTCATACCTAGAGCGGTGTAGTTTCATCCTTCGACCAGCAGCAATGTACAGTAAGTGGTAAGTGCTTGGTAAGTGGTGGTCTGTCCACCCCAGAGGACAGTCACACTGTCTTCATACACACGGGTAGAGACTACTTTTCACAGACTGGGCCAAGGCTGTAAGAGAGCCAGGAGCTGGGTGAAAAGAACCAGATAGCAAGTAACTTCAAAACAAACATGTCTGCTCTAACGGGACATAACACTTCAGAGCTAAGAACCAGTGATCATTCTCAATTCACTAACAGTCAACAGTCTAACTGTCATTACAGTTAATGTCTTTTCTAAAATTTATACAGAAGGTTATTATCTTCCTTTCTCTTTTTTTGTTGGTACTGACCTGGGACCTTTCCCACTCCCTCTGTATTTATTTCTATATCGGTGTGTCTGTCTTTGCCTGTGTGATAGTCCTGCGTTGAGTTCTCACAGTATCACTCCTCTGTTCTCTCTCTTGAGAGAGGTACCTTTGAGGGTCTCGTGTAGAAATTGTATTTAAAAAAACACAGGACAGTAAAAGACAAGCTAAGGAAGTTCACAATGCTTGAAAGAACGAAGATTAAAAAAAAAGTAATACATTTGTTCTTGTGAATTATTTACTGCAGCAATCTGGATTCAAGCTAAAAATAAGAGTGAGTTATAGGCTGGGTTTTATACAGTATTATTTCTTTGGTTTCTCCCAAACCACGGCACTGTGAAGTACTTCACCTGTAAACACTTTACCTATTACAGAACTGGCCTCAAAACCAGCAAACCCCCATTTCCATAGAACCTTTGTGGTATAAAGTCTGTTTCACTGTATTAGACTAGTATAGAGACCGTATAACAACCAATCAGGAGTTCAGAAAATTATAACAGATGAGAAGTCGTTCAGTCCAAAGAGAAAAGTAAAAAGAAATTCCACCTGTTTCTGTTTAAAATGCATTTCCCATTATGGCCTCTGGTTCATGTTTTAATGTTAGGCCTGAAGAGGTCCACTGGGCTGAGTTTGTCAATAGCAGGGGTTCACACAGCTACCTAGATGGCTTAATGAATAAACTGATCACATCTCAAATTCCAAGTTTGCAAAATCACTTTTTCATTTCCTTATTTGCTCTATTACTAGGTCTTGATGTTTCTTGTTGACTATAGGCAAAGATCAGCTCAACCCACGAGAGCTACTTCAGGTCTTCTAAGCTCTGAAGAAAATGCAGCCATCTGCCAGAAGAAAGTGGTTACTTGTGGCATCTAATTGATCTTGATGCGCTCAGACATACGGGTTGAGGCCAAATTTCTCTATTCAGAATTTATTACTTAAGCCAAGACTCCTGAGCAGCTATTAACAGCAAAAATATAATCTAAGTTTATTATATTTATAAGGTTGGTCCACATTATGTAAGGCCATTTCATAATTTATAAATCATAAATAAAGCAAATGTCAGGCATCAGTTATACTGAGTCTGTATAGGTCTGTACGCCAGCGCTTACCTGCCTTGAACCTGGAGGAACAGTCTCCTATATGTTGTTCTAGCTGAATGCTTAATAACAGGTTAATTTATTTCAGTTTTCTATCTTGGGCATATTTGTACAAGGGGGTTTGTAATTGGTATCAACCCAGTACTAGTTTCTGAGTTTCAGGTGTACTGCCTGAAATGTTACCAACTGCACCAGCAGAAGGACGAAAACACAAATTGTGGGCATGTCTGATGGAGTCATTCCCATCTGTGTCTGTGCATCATCAATGGATCATCTTGTAAGAGCTGTTCACTCAAAAATAATGTCAAATAAGTTGAGGAGAGACACTGTTAAAGGCTGTGTGCTGAATGTGTTGGAAACAGTACTCTTAAGGTCGAGTAATTCTGACACTCGCGACAGGGAAAAGAAACAAGTTAAAACCTAAACAAGCAAGAAGATCAGTTAAGTTCCCAATTGGCACTGGTGGTTTAGAGCTCAGGTAGAATGAAGATCTGCACGATGTGTCTCCCGGAGCAGGGTTTGGGAAACACTGTTCTGTGCCGTCCTAGGTGAATTTGTTGCTTGTTGTATGAGCTACAATTAAACCATTAAACCACCGACTGGACCTTGTGATGACCAGCAAATCTTCAACCTCAGAGATCATCTGTGTGAGGTGAATATAAATCTGTTTCTAAAATATTAGAAAACCATTTGTGAGACATTGGAATGCACCTGTTGGAAAATGCTGACAATTCAGACAAGCATTGTGTCTCAATAAAAAGCTATTCCTGGTACTGTATCTTGTCTTATTATGAATAGATTTTTGTCTTTGAAATGCAGCAGTGGTTTTAAGGAGTCCAGGAATTTACTAGATACATTTGGCTTTAGTTAAGAGTCTTATTTGACAAGTCTTCTGCAATGCCATATGTCCCTTTTTCTAGCTCTTTCTTTGCTTAGTGGTAGTGGATGTGGTCTGAGTGCAGAGAGCTCTTACTGACCAGCAGGTGGCACTGTTGAAAGCTGCAAGTGTTGTTTTCCCATATTAATAGACGTTTACAGATCTGTGTGGGTTACAGCACGGCAAAACTTTCAAAAATGCCTTTGCATTTCCGAGGGTCACAAAGGTTTGCATATAGGAAAGCACCGTGTGAACACCGGAAAAATCTTATGGTATGCTGTGATGACAGAATAATGAGAGCTTTGCATTGAAGCAAAACGGGCTATTTTCACAATTTTTCAGTGCTTTTAGGAGAAGTGGGCTGTTTCATTTTTAATTTTATTTTGTGTTGAAACACTGGGATTTTAAATACGGTTTCTTAATAGAAGCCAGAGAGGAAGCTACGAACTGGTGTCAAGTTCTGCTGGGGAAGATGAGAAAAGCATCGAGGCAAGGTGATTGCGATTGTTTTCCTGAAAACGCATTTATGAAATCTGCCGCATTTAACCTCGCCCTCCGATTTTGCAAATGTGTTTATGTTGTGGCGCAAAAAGCTATGAGACCTAAGGAATATAAATAATGACGACTGATTCTATGAGCACTGGCAAAAAATATAATCTAAATTCAGACTTTTATGGGCAGATCAAAATTCCCCTTGGATCCAGAGGGTTCTCAGTGTCGTCTGCTTTTCTATTAACTTGCTTTGTCAGTTTGCTCATCTGCCCAGACCTTCAAGTATCCAAGTGTGGCATACTCCAGATCTCTCCCACTCAATTTGTGAATCAAGTGTACTTTTTCACAAGTGATGTGGTGCGGTAATTGAAATAATGAAATATTTCCAAGTGACCAAATATATTTCTATACTTTATGGGGTTTTAAACAAAGTTTAGGAGGAGGTCGAAACCTTAATCTCACCTACCTCTGTCAACCTAGGAATATAAGGATATAATGATTCTAGCTTGCCCGGTTATGCAGTTCATTTTTCTCATACCATTGTTTCTAAGGTATGAGAAAAATACCTTATGAGAATAATAACCTCCAGAAAGAAGATTCTCCTGTTCTCAGTTAAAATGCACTAACACATAGTTCCCATTTGAGTCTTCAGGTTCAGATCTCACTGTTGAAGATGTCCAGGAGATTGACTTTGTCAGTGCCTTTAATGATTTTTAGTACTTGGACCAGGTGCCCCTAGTTTTCACTATTCAAGACTAAAAAGGTTCAGTACCTTCGACCTGTCAACATAGTAGATTATCTTCAGCCCTTAAATGTATGTTTGCTCTCTTTTGGACTGATTTCAGAGCACAAACATCTTTTATAAAAAGCGGTCACTGACATCGTGCACAATATTGTAAATGAGACCTTACTAATTATACAATTAAACATCTCTTGATTTAAATTCTACACGTTTGACTATGTATATTTACATTTTATCTATTTATTGCTTTGTCACATTGTCTAGAAGTTTTTAATGATGTGTCAAAATAAACACCCAGGTATTTTCCATAAGTAGCCTCTTCTGGTTTGGTTTTCCATTTTGTGTTTACTTTGTTTTTTACTTTATGCATGCAAACGCCTGCTCTTTTCTGCTCTTGAGTTTTATTACACCATTTTTGCTGGAATCTAGATTGTTGATGTAATTTAGGAAAACCTATGGCCTTAATACAGGTCTGCTAATTACATCACCCTCAATTTGAGCATTTACCCTGATCTTGACTCTCAGTTTCTCTGTTCAAAAACACACATTTCCCTGAATGCTTACCACTTGGGATTCCAGAATTAGGCAATACAACACATTCTCCACCTTTATGAATATGTGCACTGTGGTGGTGGGAGCATCGCATCAGGAAGCTCTTTTTTCAGGTTTTGCATGCGGAGCTGCTGTAGTTGTGTTTGAGGACTGGGCAGTGAATTCTGGCCTTGATCAAGAGGCCTTCCCCTTTTCTGAATATGTGGTGTGGTGGTGGGAGCATTATCTGCACACTCACTCACACTCACATCTACTATTCAATTGTAATGTCATCCTTGTAATTTGTCTCAGTTTGACACACATCGCATTCCTACTGTTTTTTTTTCAGTCCTGTTTTTCAACCCTCTGTCCTGCCATCCTCCACATAATTAATGAGTCCTTTTAAAATTCAGAGCTCTGGCCCTTAAAAAGGCTGCAGTTACCCTTATGCCTAAAAAACAAATATGGCTCTGGACTGTCTGAACAATTTTCATCCTATGTCCAGCCTACTTTATCCTGTCAAAATCTCAGAACATGATGTTGCAATTCAATTAAAGAACCATCTCATTGCAAACAACCTCTTCAAACCCCACCAATCTGGTTTCAGACAATTACACAAACTGCCCTTGTTAAAGTTATTAACTATCTTATGGCTACTGATTCCAGTTCTGTATCTACATTTATTCTACTTTACCTCAGTGCTGCTTTTGACACTGTTAAGTCTTATTTTCTCCTCTTGAGAGTGTGTTAGGAGTTTATGATATTGCTCTTAAAATAGTTAAAATTTTACTTTACTGATCGCATGAACCTTGTCTCTCTTTTGAGGGTTTCAGTTCTGATGTTGGATTCATTGAGTCTGGTGTCCCTCATGGCTCGATACTGGGTGCCCTACTATTCAGCATTTACATGTTCCCATTTGGTTAGTTATTAAAATCACATGGTCTGAAATATAAATCCTATACCGACGATACTCAAATCTAAACTTTTAATAAACCTAACACTGTTACAGAAACAAAGTTTCTTCTTCAAATGATGTTTTTCTTAAATACTTTAATACTTAAATATATTATCCTGTTCTCTACCAGCTAAATGGTCTTTGTTTCCAGAGAAAGTATGATTTTACATTTTTGCCTCTTTTGAAAGCTAGTACATAATCTATTTCCTTTAGTCCTGACTTAACCAGCCACAGGCATTACTGATAAGATCTAAAATGTTTGTTTCAGTATTGTCTAATAATGCACACTCAGTAGGGATGTGGTGCTTAAGGCATGATTTAGAGCAGTGTCTGAGTCAGGTATTTGAACTTAACATATTTTACCCTCAATCTCTCCTTGTCTTATCTATGGGAATCAAAGGTTATCACTGATGCAACAGTAACCTTAGAAGAGAAAATGTTTCCTGATGTCTGCATTCCTCACCAGTAAGCAGCATTTTTCCACATTTTTGCATTCCACTTGTTTCTTTTTACAACTTATCTTTTA